GATTCATGTAGCCGACCCCACGTAGTGGGATAAAGGCTTGATGTTGTTGTTGTTGTTGTGTTGTTAAAATCTTCAAGAATTATTTTGGCATGAGAGGACAATCCGTCTGATGACAACGGCGCTATCAAGTCATACTTTTGACATCAACAACAGGATTAATTAATTTGTTATTTTTAGTAAATTTATGTTTTAGGAAATATTTAAATATTCTTTTAAATTGTATGGTGTATTTAGTGGTATGTTTTTTTGTTTTTGTTTTTATTTCCTTACAATTTTCCTTGGTGTCTTTTCTCTGATAAATTAGATCCAAGTATTCTGAATGGATGATGAAGAACAGTTTTCGTATTCTACGTATCTTTATTCTACAAAATTCATTATTCATTGTTCAGATCCCTCTTCTCTCTCACATTGCAGGTTCTCCTTTCCTCCCTTCTAGTTACTTTCCTCATCTGATCACCCAGCTCCCTTCCCTTTATTTTCTATTGCTCATCTTACTTCCCTATCGATTCTTTCTTGTTTTTCTCTTGTTGCACATCTCCCTTCTTGTCTTTCTTTGCCTCTCTCTCTCTCTCTCTCTCTCTCTCTCACACACACACACACACACACACACACACACACACTCTATATATCTTTCTAGCTGATTTTCTTCTACTGGAAGTCTTCTATCCCATTCTCTATTCCACCTACGGCTCTTTGCTCTGTTCTAAAAACCATTGCACTACTGCAGTTTTACCGGGTCCCATGTTTCTACTTGTTTCTGACAACATACACGTCTCTGGACAGGTTTGGCTGGTTTTATTTTATTAAATTTCTAACGTTGTACATGAATTGAGCATTTCTACTTGCTGTTTTCTTTGAAATCCCCTATAATTCTCTTGCTTGGTGATTGTCTCTGTTTTGTTGACTGAACATTCCCTGGTCATTTTTCTCTGTTTGATCTACATATTATCTGCCACTGCAACTGTAATACCATCTCCTTTTGAAAAAAGACTGCTTTTGAACCAGTCTACTGATTCTGCTGACATCCATTTACATGCAGAGTGTTAGTTATTATATTCACTGTTTTGTCTCAATTTAGGTTCGGCTGCTACCGTGCTTTATTTTGGTGGTTATCAGATCTTTCATATCTATTAATTTGTCAGTTATAAGGTTCGCTATATTTTATCCGTCGCAATTCGTTCATGATTCACGTCCTTAATCTCCATGCTTCCTGATCAGAAAGGATAGGCTTTAATCAACATTTAAATACAACTAAATAAGTTCCAAAATTAATGAAGTAACCAACCAAACCATATTTGTTTGGTAAAACTTCAATTATAGGCATTCTCACAGCAATAGTAGTTGCTGTACATTTTGTTTGATTGTAATTTAGTTTGACATTTTATTATGTTGTAGGATGTCTTTCTGATCATAAATATTTGATTATTTTTTCCATTTTCTAGGTTGAACCTAATCAAGAGTTTCATGGTTTAATATGTGAAGGAGCAAATGTTCTTCCCTCAAAGTTCTTGGAGGATGCATTTCATGATGGATATGGTAGGCTTGTTGATGAGATATAATGCTTGATGCCTTCAAGTATTCTGATTTTCTTATTCTTATTTTTATAGTCTACTCTATGATATCCCTTTAACATGTAAAGTTAGGCTTAAGCAGAATCTGATAATATTTGAACATTATGGAGTGTATGATGATGTAAGTTATGGATATCAAGAGAGGACTGTTGCATCTTTGTACTTAACTTGCAGAGAACCTTTTAACATGCATTAGTTGTTGTCTATGATTTATTTAATTGTAGCCTATTATAGTAATAATTTAGACTCTCTAATCTAAGATTTTGGTGTCAAGTTATGCAGGAAAAATAGTCAATATACGACATTTGGACAAAATTATCAAATCCATCAATGGGTGGTATATTGAGCGTGGATTGTTTGGAATGGTAATTTCTCCCTTGCGATTGCTTCCATTAATTATTTGTGGCATGAGTATGCAGTTATTATTATTATTATTATAGTGGCTGGAATTGATTGTTAATGGTTTTAGCCATATAAAATTAATGGCTTGCTGGCCTACTTGGGCTATTATGTTTGCTATTATTTCAGGTTTCAGATGTTGAGATTCTCTCTGGTGGAATACTTAAACTACAAGTCTCTGAAGCTGAGGTCAATAACATCAACATTCGCTTTCTTGATAGAAAAACGTAAGAAATACATTTTTTTTTCTCTCATGCCAGACTTAAATATGAACTGCAAATTTTAAGTGCCTTGTTTTTCTGCACCTTTGTGTTAATCTTTTTTATTTTTGAAGTGGTGAGCCAACAGATGGGAGGACCAAAACTGAGACGATACTTCGACAACTCACAACCAAAAAGGGACAGGTAAAAACATTGCCAACTATATATTTAGTTTATGTATGACTTCTCCTTTTTTTGTTATGTTTTTCAGGAGATAAGGTTCTGCTTGGGGTTGGTGTTTTGTGGGCCTGGGATTAGATGGTAATGATGATGGAATAGGAATAGTGATGATAAGAAGTATGTGGATGTGCTGTTTGGTTTGGGGTTGAGTAGATGGATGGTTGGGGAATGTTATTGTGTTGTAGCCGGCAGTCAATTTCAGGCTGCATGAAAACCCAGTAAATTTACCTTTTTAGACCCGTAATATGACTTTGTTTGGTCTATTCATCAAGTGGGTTCCAGGTCAGAATGGAAAATCTTTATCAAGTGGCCTTCTTTAGGGGTCCATCTCAGAATGATGTAGAACTTCGATCAAGCAGCCTTCGTCTAGGTTTCAGGTCATTAAGTTGGTTCCAGGTCAATCTAATTGTGCATCTTCTGGTCTTTTGCTTTGTAAGCTAGTGTTGCTTATAGAAGTCTGTTAAAGCCGTTTTAAAGGATTGTCCGAGTTAGGTATCTTATGATTTCCTCTTTCAACTTTATAAAGGGGAGTTAATTGCTTTCCCTTTTGGTGGTATAAGACATTTTCTTAATCCAGAAAACCAATGTCATTGGCATTCTATGTTGTTGTGTTGGGTGGTTGGATGTGGGGCTGAGGTGTGGTGTGGTTGGTTGGTTAGATTTCATGCTACATTGAGTAAAACTATTATTTAGACCCTATGTATGAGAGGTTGGCGTTTGCCTCTATGTCCTCTGTCAAGGAGAATCTCATCAAGTAGTTTAAGATTGAATTCCTGCTCAGAAAGATTTTAAATCTTGAAGTAGCCTTAAGCTGGGTTCCAGCATGCCACGATGGATTATCTCTAGGTCTGAGCTTTAGAAGCCAGAGGCTCTAAGAATCTGCTGCTTGCCTAGCCTAATGGGTTCGTCTGGGTAATATGTCAGATTCTTTCCAATTTCAGAAGGCACAAATGCTATTCATTTAATCACATAACAAATAGTCTTAGTCAAACCGAACAACATTGGTAGTGCTTTCAATTTATTTAGTTATCAAATGATTCATGCCATTGTACTGTACAAATTGGTATTTTTTTTGGTGCTTGGGCTGGATCTAGTAGATCCAATCTTTGATTGGCTATAATATTTCCTTTTCTGAGCTTTCCTGCTTGCTGCCTGCTACTAGTTTAATCACTGCTACTACCAAGCCGAACGTTTTGTGCTGTGTGGCTAACTGGCTATTATATCTTGTTATTATCTACTTTAGTGTTGTGTAGACTTCTGCAGTCAGCAGTTTAACTGGCTGTTTCTAAAATAGAGCATGAAGGGTAATAGTTTTTTGTTGATTGAAAACTTGGGAGAGCCCTTCTGAGTGAAAAAAAAGACAATTACAATATTACAGAACCAAAAAGAAATGAATGGAAATCGCTGGATAAAAAATTAGAGAATGAGCTGGATTTCTAAAATGAACTAGTAGTGGCTTGTCTTGAATTTAAAATCATCTTCTCTGAAATATGTGCACCTCGTTCCCAGGATTATAGTCCAAGCTGAAGTAAGCTTGAGATAATGTATTGAATCTTATTGATTTATCATCCTTCATAGTATTTATTAAGCATCAGTTGTTCCTCTTACTCCAAGTGTTCCAAAGAGCCAAGAGTTGCAATAGAACATGACGGGCAATTTCTAATGACTAAATAATTCCTATAATGTAGACCGGAATGAATACCATCTTTAGTGATTTTTTGCCTCTTGCATTCCTATGCTTTTTTTTGCAACCCAGATTATTGATATATTAGAGTTCCTAATGCAACTAGAATGATGCTGTCACACGGTCACACCTTATTTTGGCCCATCCTTACGGTCAACCTAAAGTATAATAGAGAAGGAAAATCTAAGCATGCCCCTTCTTGCTAACACCCATTTTGAGCTACTTCTATCATAATTAGATGAGTAAGAAGTAATATGTTTAGACTCTCCTAACATATCAAGCTTTACACTTAACAATAATAAGCATGTAATATACTTTAATTAAACATCAAATATAATAAAAAGAAATAAAGAGCTTTAGTAAAACTTTTTAAAATTTATTTACATATCCCAAAAGTCTTTGTACAGACTCCACTTCTCTATGTACACTCAAAATATATATACACCAAAAAGGACAGTTACCTTTTTTTGTCTAATGCTTACGAGCTCCTTTCCCTTTCCTACAGTGCAACCACTACTAATAAGCTAGGGTTCAATGAAATATACAAGCAATGTATAAGAAATAATAATAACATTGTTAACAATTAATTTAGAACACATTGAAATTTTATACTGATTATGAAAAATGCATAATATTATTTTCTATCTTTTTAACTGTTCAACACCTTTAAACAAGTCATATGATGACTATAAGCTTTTTGCACCATTTTAGCTTTTCATGTCTCCAAATTCCTAACTTTTAAAATTGAAGCATCTCTCTTATTCAAGGTTGGGTTCGAATTTCTAACTTTTTAAATTTTGAGAGTGTAAACTTATCTTGTCAGGTCTTTCGCCTTTACTTATGCTGGTCTATCTCCCATGTATGATTTATTTCATTTTTCCAATACCATTCAATTTTAACAATCATACATTGTTTTATTGTAGTCACTAATTAATAAATCAACAATTATATGAATAAACTGAAATTAAAATGCTATCATAAACATAACAATTATGAATTTACATATATATAAAATTTTTACTCTTTTCTATGCATTGTTTGGATATCACTTCACTTGGAATTCATTCTTGTAGGTTGTTTTTTCTTCTCCTTTTATACACTACCTAAAACATGCATTTCTTTATTTACACATGCTAAAACATGCATTTCTTTATTTGTACATGCTTATAAATAAATGAAACAAGAATATGAATATATTACATATTACCTCAATTGTATTCTTTCTCATTCAACCAACAATCTTTCATTTTCTTCTTCATAATCTCCCTCTTTTCCTTCTTTCCTTTTTCCTACTGAATTCAACAACCGGTTTCGGCGCACTCAGCATTTAGAAATTCATATTTCAGTAACAATACACGCTAATTTTAGCAACTATAACATCAGTTTTCACTATTCTCCTCACTATTTCTGTACACACTATTACAAAAATTACAATTACTGATTTCCTTAGCATTCTACAATCCTAAACTTCCTTCCCACATTTCATTACCTCAGAAATTAGAGACCAAAACTGCAACTCCCACACACTATAGCCCTTCTCACATAGCCAACAGCTCGTGGCAACTGCATTGCTTCGTATGCCAGGGAGCAGCGTGAAAGGAATAAGGGGAAAACAAAATGCCTTATTCATAGGATGAAAATTCCACTAAGCATTATTATATTCTACTCCTCCACTAATTCCTTTCAAAATCTCAACCCAGTTGTTAATTTCCAGCCTTTTTAATCAGACCAATGCATGCAAGGCTAACTGATGTGGCTACAGTAATAATAATAAAATAATGAAATAGCAAATACTGAAATATGAATAACAACATTTCTTTTTTTTTTTTTAAATTTCAATTAACTGTGACAGAGATAATAATCAGTTATTCATATAATAGAATTAAAAGTTTATTCTTACATTTATTTTGAGCATTTCAGGTATTACAGATGCAATACATGTCATGCAAAAGACATATGATGATAGGAATTTCTAGTCAATGGTCACTAATTACACCAAAATAGATTTCTTTAGGTATAAAATAAAAAATATGTGAGCGACAAACAAACATGATAATGAAATGATTGATTAATTCAAAGGGATCAATGAGACATTCAAACCATGAAAAAAATAAACGAGCAATAGTGATATTTACGTTGCAATTGAAATCCCCACAAAAGCATAGTTAACTAAATCAAGACTCTTGCAAGACTAGGGACAAAATGATTAAGAAGAAAAAAATAATGAAATAGATCATCATAGAAGAAAAATTAAGCATCTTTTTGGTACAAAAAGATTTCTTCCTTCAGAAGTTTATCACACTTGTACAACATTCAAAAGAATCTCACATCCAAAAGAGATGATAGTGAATGAAGAAAATTGGAATTTCATTAAATAAATGCTTAATAAATTACATTACTCATGTATCTATTTATAGATTTATCATTCCTAGGTTAATAGATATGGCTGGTTTTATTTCAATTTCGTGAATAAGTTTGATTTCTTTCATAAGTTCAGGTATAGTCAAATGCTTAATTTTATTTTCAAACTCCAATTGTTCCTCTTGATCAATTATAAATTTAAATTCATGAATATAGATATATATTCAGATTTAAAATTATCAGATATAGATTCATATTTGAACTATAAATCTTTTTTTTTACATATTAAACATCTTTAAAAGAATATTAATAAATTGCATTCTCTTCATGTAGATCGAATTTAACAATAAATTATAAGAGATGGTTTTGATTTTTCTTTAGAGACAGTAATCATAAGTGCAGTGGCCCTAAGAAAACGATTGAAATATTTCTCAATATGCATGCTGCCTTATGCAATATTTTTGGTGAATTGTAGTTTATTTTGATCTCTAATTTTTTGCTTAAAGCTTTTTGTGAAACAAGTAATAGTAACATAATAATTTAAAGACATAATATTTAGTCACAAAACCTATAAACTTAGTATAATACTTGAGCGAATGATATTTCTCTTGTTTACAATTCTTAAATTCCATGCAGTTGATCCCTAGATTTAGCAAAGGACACGTATTGCATTTATTCTAGGTTTCTTATTAGCCAATGATGGCTTTATTGCAACGCATTGCCTCAATGATATGTTCCATTAGTTTAGGCTTGTCACATTTACCTCTCTGGGAATCAGACAAATTATATTTTTCAAAGAAATCTTCCAAATCATCGATCCAATTTGAAAATTTTCTTAGATCATAGCTCTCATTGAATGTTGTAATATGAGTTTGAATATCAAAATAATCATTAACATACATGGTTTCATTTAAAATTTCATATTTTGTTATTTTTTATTTGACCAAATATTATTTTTTACTTTTAGTTGACATTATGATGCAACAACCATAGGCTCTAATACCAATCAGTGGAAGATGTCGTAATATTTTTTATGCTCTACTATCTCTTTCTGAATTTAATTAGAGTGATGTTGATCACCCAAAAAATTGGGATTCTCAGATTGAAGCTTACTAATGGCATGAAAATCCCTGTAAGTGTAAAGTTGAAAAATATGTAAAAGCCAAACCAATATGATAATACAACGCTCTGTAGCTTAAAAGAATCCGTGAGAAATTTGAATCATGAAAAATTAACTAGAAAGCGTAAATTCTAATGAAGTCATGTTAGTGGTATCTGCATAATGCTGTGCTACAGCATTATTTTTTGTTCTTATGAAGGCGTTTCAATAAAATGATTTTCTTTTTGAAAAACGAACTTATGGTTGGTGGTTATTGACAGGTTTTCTTATAAACTCTTTGTAAGCAATCGTGCAATATGATTTTGTTATTCCCTTGAGAAAATTATACATCCACAGAGTGGAATATATCATTAAGATAGTTGGATAATAGCCTCAATGATAATTTTCTTTTATTTGTTTTTGCCAGAAGAGTGCAGTAATATATGATTGTTATTTGTACTTTTTCTTTACGTTGAGCTAATCCGATTTATGATACTTGGTTCTGTCAATATGGAATATGTTTATTATTTACAAATTTATTTTTGTTATTGCCATTTTTTTTCTTATTGCTTGTTTTGCTAATGTTGTTTTTTAGGTTTATAGTTTGCTTCAAGGAAGAAGAGATGTAGAAACAATTTTAACTATGGGAATTATGGAAGATGTGACAATTATTCCACAACCAAGTTCAGGTGCTACTTCCATCCTTATGCTAGTGAATTGTTTTCCATTTATGAATCGAGAGGTTTTTTGTAATTTCGGAAATCTTTTTCTATGTTAGACTAATTTCTAGAGAGGGTTTACTGAAGTATTGGATGAGATGCACAAAGAACTACACAAAAAAATTCCTAGTTGTCAAATTAAGTAAGGATTAATCATTTTTAATTCAAAATGAGAAGATACATTTTATTCATTCCAAATGATATTTTTAAAGTTGCTGAAGTATGAAATTTCACGAGAATACTATGAACCAATATAAAACTATTCAGTGAATATAATTCATACCACAAAAAGAAACGCACATATTAAATTTGAAAAAAAACTCAATCACATAGAGGTACAAATCGCTAAACAGTTAAGAAGTAAGAGCAAATGATAGAATTCAGCAAGTTGAAGATCTAGCCTCATTATTGCATAAGGATGATTTTCCGAATTATCAAGACTTATTAGGCGCTCAAAGAACGAAACTTCAACAGCACACTTAATAATTTAGAGAAAACATATTTTTATTTTACAATTCAATATCTCTATGATTTTTATATGACTGGGAGTACCATTTGAAACCAAGCAGTCCAAACTAAGTAATTTTTCATAATCCTCCAAGATCTAGACTTATATTGCAAGTTTCAATTTAGCATATTTGAATAACAGCATGAAAACTAAATTTTCACCCTTTGTTTCAGTCCAAACAGAGTATATCCACCTCTATAATTTTTGATAGCAATTCCCTGCTATTCCCAATTTTCCTAGCTACAATACTGAAATATGATGGAAACAATCACACAAAACTCCGTAGCTGAAAAAAAGTTGAACACAGTTAGAAGGCATTGCAGCTGAAGGAAGGATGACAAGCACCAAATTCCAGCTATATTTGGAAGTTTTGTATAAAGAAGGAATTCAACATCAGGCAAAACATGTTTTATGTAAGCCCAATTCCCTGCTTCAACAGCATACTGAGGAAGTACAAATAGAGCTGCAGACTCAAGGCATGCGAAACACTGATATTTTTCGAATTTGATATTACACATAAAAAATGGAGAATTGGCCATGTGCTGAAACTAGGAACTGAAAACAACTGAACTAGCCTAAAAGTTAAATGGAAACAACTTCTAGAAGTAAACCTAGCCTGAAGCTGTAATCAAAATATTGGAGAACACATCCATTGTCAATAGGATCATCATTATAGATGCGTTCTATGAAAATAAAAAAAAATGTACAACACATGGCTCATAAGTCATAACCACTGAAAATCAAAATGCATGTCTCAGAGTTCACTCTCAATGCAATATGTGGATATATAATTTCTGAATTCCATCAAATCTATCTTGAAAAAAATTGGACTACTAAATGAGCATATGATATCCATTGTCATGCCCTATTTTTATCTCTTTGGACGATCATGTCATTACTAAGAGTACACATTTTAGATATCTTGGTCTATTGTTTAGAGTGATGGTGAGGATATCATTAGTAGAATTCAAGTTGGGTGGTTGAAGTGGAGGAATGCATTAGGCTTGTTGTGTGATAGAAAAGTTCCCCTCAAACTTAGGGAAAAATTCTATAAGATGGTGGTGAGACCTGCAATGTTTTATAGTGCAAAATGTTGGCCATTAAAAGTGAAGCATAATATTAAGTGTTGCAGAGATGAGGATGCTCAGGTGGATGAGCTGCTTTACACTTAGAGATAGGATACGAAATGAACATATACGTGAAAGGTTGGAGTAGTTTCAGTGGAAGATAAGATTAAGAGAGTCATTTTAAATGGTTAGGTCTCATAAAACGGTGGCCTTCCGATAACTCAGTTTGGAAAATAGATGTATTATATTTGACTTATGTTACGAAAGGTAGAGGTAGACCTAAAAAGATTGGTTAGAAAATATTAGAAATGACCTTTTTTATTAGATTTAAATGAGAATTTGATTCTTAATAGGACACAATGGAGAAAAATGATTTATGTAGCCAATCCCATATAGTGTGATAAAGGCTTGATGTTGTTGTATAGTCAACCATGAGATGTAGCAGAGGCAGATAGTCATTCAGACATATTTCAAACACTTGACATTTGTTGTTGAGGATTGAGTGAATAGAAAATTAGTTTGACTGAATTATAATAAAACATACATTATACTTCATAATCTTGATTTATTCATCATTTATAATAACATGGATGCATAGATAATTTAAAAATAACTATGAAAATATAATTTTATCTCATTATCCAATCAAGGTTTAAAATTGCGTAAATAAGCCTCGAGGCGTTTTCCGTCCGTGAGGCGAGGCTTAAGCCTCGAGGCGGTGTGAGGTGTAAAGCCTCACGGACGAAGAATTGCGTAAATGAGAATTTACGTATTCTAGTAGGTAAATAACAGTAAGAGTCTATCATACAATAAAAAAATCTAAATGAGAAATGAAATTAGTGGAAAACTATAAAATAGATGCAATATATGCATCTTATAGCATAATTCAAAGTACAAAAGTACAATTATAAATCTATCAAAACTCCCAATGTACAACACAACAACAACAACAACAACAACAACATCAAGCCTTTATCCCACTACGTGGGGTCGGCTACATGAATCCTTTTTCTCCATTGTGTCCTATTAAAAGTCAAATTCTCGTTTAAATCTAATAAAGAAAGGTCATTCCTAATATTTTCTAACCAAGTCTTTTTAGGTCTACCCCTACCTTTCTTAACATAAGTCAAATCTAATACCTCTACTCTCCTAACCGGGTCATCGCAAGGCCGCCGTTTTATGTGACCAAACCATCTAAGGCGACTTTCTCTAATCTTATCTTCTACTGGAGCTACTCCAACCTTTTCGCATATATGCTCATTTCGTATCCTATCTCTAAGGGTAAAGCCACTCATCCACCTGAGCATCCTCATCTCTGCCACACTTAACTTAGTATTATGCTTCTCTTTTAAAGGCCAACATTCGGCACCATAAAGCATTGCATCTCCAATTGTACCTAAAACCGGTAGTAGAGGTGTCGTAGAGGGCGGCCGAACACTAGAAGCTCACCAGCGTGAGGCGATGCCAGCGGGAGAGGCGGCAGGAAGGTCGGCCGAGGGAAGCTAGGTCGCGGATCTGGGCTTGCGGAGAACTCTGTTCGGTTCGGGTCGGCCGAATGAAAGAAGTGAGAAAATAGGTTTTTTTTATATTAGGAACTTAAGTGGGTGGGACCCGGCTCTATAAGGCTTGCACTTCACCCATTATTGCACAATTGGGCCTCTGAGGCACGCCTCATGGATCCTTAGACGTAAGCCTCACCTAGACCCAAAATTGTTTTAGCAATGAGGCTCTTGGGGTTAAATTGCGTAGAGGCGTGCCTCTTATTGCGCAATTTTAAACTATGATTTCAATTATTTTTTACTCCTTAGGGTTTTATTTATAACATAAAAGAAACTCAATATGTAATTTCCAATTAATTTCTCCAAGTCCTCTAAGATTTTGCCTAATACTAAATTTCAATTCAGTAGTTTTGAACTTCAGCAAGGACAACAAATTTCGAACCTTAGTTTTATCCGAAACAAAGAATTTTCATCATTAGAATCATTAACAACAACTTCTGATTTTCCCAGCTACATTTTATTCTCAAGAAGGAAGGACATTATCGAGCAAAGCTATGATACCCATAGATGGAATGAAACAGCCGTGCAAAGCTGTTGGGCATTAAGGACACCATGCACCAATTTTCTTCTACAGTAGAAAGTTCCTTTTAATAAAGGAATGCAATAGTTGCCCAAAAAAAGTTTTACGCAAGTCCAATTCTCTGCTACAACAATATATCAAAGAAAAAGCTCAAGGCACGTGAAACAATGACACTTTCCAAAGTATAGGCTGGAATGAAAATACTGTGAATGAACCTGGGCTTAAACATGAAATAGGAAAGAACTAAATTAGTGATGTAATGCAGACTAGAATGATGAGCCAACTTGGAGAACAAAAAGACAAAATAAGGCCAAACTCGATTCAATTGAAGCTTACAATCAACCAAACAAACATCCAGCCAAGCAAAAGACAAAATCAAACAGAACAAAATAAGAACATAAAAACGCTATCCTCAGAACAACCAACTAGCGGTTTCCTCACATGCATCGAATGTAGGAGAAATATAAAAGATAGTGTTTAGGCTTGCAAACCGAGGGTCCACCACTGCAAAAGAGTCCAACGTCCTATCAAACTCCTCCGGCAAATGCCTCCAAAAAATCAGCCAACAAACAACTTCCAAATGCTCAAGAAGAAGGATACATGTGGAGTGGAACTTGCGTAGAGAAGAAGAGGGTAGAAGCCGAGACGAAATAGAGAGGAGAAGAAGGAAATGGAACAAGCTCTCAAGCTTTTCCAAGAGAGGAGAAGAAACCCTCAGGTTTTTGGAGACTTTTCTCAAGATAATCAACAACCTTTTATGCCTCAAATCAGCCCCTATATATAGTAGCCAAATTGGTCTACTTCCTTTATTTCTTATTTCCTGCTTTCCATTACATGCAACCAAATCACACCTTGGCTTAAAATGATATCATGTTCTACCTTTTATGCTTCAATTATTTTCATTATAAACTACTTATGATTTTGTGTGTTATTCTAGATGGACGGAAGGTTGATTTGGTTATGAATCTGGTTGAGCGCCCAAGTGGTGGTTTCTCTGCAGGTGGGGGAATATCAAGCGGGTAAGTGATGGCAGTAGATAGTTTTAGTATGTTTGTATACGTAAATTTATTCTCTTACAGTTTGATTCTTTGAAGTAATGATTTGGTGTGGGACATGCAGGATTACAAATGGTCCTCTGTCAGGACTCATTGGGAGGTATTTTTTTTTTAATTGCATCGGTAGTTATAATCAACATTTTTTTGTGGTTACTCTATGTTGACTGTAAGCAAGCTCACTTATATCAATCTATGTATGTTCTCTGTGTTGTTTTATGTTAATTTTTTTCTCATTGCAAGATCATTTGGGTGAAATTTCACTTGTTGAGGTAGCGTGTCTTATGTTTTTTAACAAAGTTTCATTTAACATTTCATAGCCAGTTAGAGTTTGCTAATCTATGCTTGTTGAACACGGGATAATGTTTTGAATTAGGTATGTTAATGTGCAGGATGTGGATTAGATATCTATATTATAATATTTATTTATTTTTAAGTAGCATATCAAGGTATTTGGATGCAGCAGGACTTCTAGAATTGGTTGTTTGTGGGAGAGAGATGTCGAGCCAAGAGAAGTGGGGAAAGATTAGCTAGAGAGAGAGAGGAGTTTAGTGAGGAAAGAGAAAATAGAGAGACTAGGGAAATGAGAGACAAAATCAAACCAGAGGAAGCAGAGAGCTGAAGAAAATGCATTCAGTAGTAAACAATAACATAGAGTTTGTAAGCTAGAATTCATGGAAATATCCAACAAAAATTACAAAAAAACCTTGGACAAACGACTTAAAGACTAGTATTAGGATAACAAATGGAATAAAGGACATGAATAAATGCTAAATGACATGATGATCAATGACAAATAAAAGAATGAGATATTGATTAGTGCTTCATGCCTACTTTAATAATGTAGAAGTCGAGTATTTATTTGTGTCAATTTAGGCTTGGGAAAGCTTTGGATAGCTTAGTCACCCTTGTTTGTTTTTTTGTAGATTATTTGGGGTAAAGTAGATGTTTGTTATTTGGACAACTTGGTATTTGGCAATACTTTTAGGATTAAATTATCTATGGCATTATGAATGGTATTATGTGTAATATTCATTTATCGGTAATTAGAAGTTGATTAATTATTCAAAAGAAATGACTTTTGCATAGAATTTTTCTCTTCGTAGCTTGCTTTTTTAATGAAACCTGAGGGCAACCCATTGCTTCTCTTGATCTAGTCATGAGGCCTCTTTTTTTTCCACGGCCTCTTGGCTCTCCTCCATTGCAGCATTTACTCTCTTGATCTTATCAATTTACCTCTCTCTGTCAAATTCTTCCTCTATATTGATTCTTGCCATCTTGGTAGCTCAAGATGGTAGTTTCATATTGCACTCCATTTTGTCCTCTTTCCAGTTAACCATGAGGCATGAAAGAGATAGACAGTCTAGTCAGGCACATTTCCCAACAACAATGATCCTAACTTTGCCAACCCTATGTAGTGGGATAGAGATAGATATTGATGTTGTGCCCATCTTGAATTTACTAATCAGGATTAAGTGTGTGAAAAATAGTCTAGTTAAATCGTCATAAAAATGTATCTCATTATATTCATTGATATGAAAGTATGCGTATTTTAAATCATCAAAATAGACTATAGAGCATCTAATAATTTTATAGAAAATTTTTATACACTAGAATTTTCTAATTTACATAATTTGCATTATTTTTTATACTACTTTTCAAAAATTTACATTCATCTATGATGCTGAGGTACAGAATAAGTTCTATCACCTGCCTATGGTTATACCTTCTCTATCTTTCTTGAAAAATATTCATCATAGTATCTAATGAGGTAAATACTTTATAGGATAAATATTTTTGATAGAAAAGGATCAAGATGACCCCTCAACTCTTTGTGAGGGATCAAAATAGTCTCCAACTATTGTGAGGAACTAATTTCGTCCCTCAACTCCTCCAAATGAGACTTTTTTAGTTAGTTGATGGTGTTAAGTATGGGGGTAATTTAATCATTTTAAATTAAAATATTTAATAAATGTAATTTTTTAGAAATTATATTTTTGTAAAAAATTGTTATTAACTTTTCTTTAATAAAAAAACTATACATAATTTTAGTTTTTGTTTTTGATAATAAAAATCAAAATTTTCTTTTCTCAACTCTTAGGGGTTGTTTATTATATTTATAATTATTAATTTTAATTATTGTTACCAAACAATTAATTTAATTAAAATTTAAATTAAATATCAATTAATTTTAGTAATTAATTATTTTTTTAATTATATTATATTTGTTAAGAGGTTTGATGGAGAAATATAGAGAAAATAAGGAGGATCTACATATGATATTTATTGATTTAGAAAAAGTCTAAAAGGGAAGATATGGAGGGTAATTTTATCAGTAATAGTCCTAGTGAGGGGATTGCGACTTTGGGCGATCAAGTCATTAATAAGAGTACACGTTTTAGATATCTTGGATCTATTGTTCAGAGTGATGGTGAAATAGATTGTGATATTATCAGCATAATTCAAGTTGGATGGTTGAAGTGGCGGAATGCATCGGGCTTGTTATGTGATAGAAATGTACCCCTCAAACTTAAGGGAAAATTCTATAAGATGGTAGTGAGGCCTGCAATGCTTTATGGTGCAGAATGTTGGCCATTAAAAGAGAAGCATAATACTAAGTTAAGTGTGGCAAAGATGAGGATGCTCAGGTGGATGAGTGGCTTTAGTCTTAGAGATAGGATACGAAATGAGCATATACGTGAAAAGGTTGGAGTAGCTCCAGTAGAAGATAAGATTAGAGAGAGTCGCCTTAGATGGTTTGGTCACATAAAAAGGCGGCCTTCCGATGATCCGGTTAGGAGAGAGGTATTAGATTTGACTTGTGTTAAGAAAGGTAGGGGTAGACCTAAAAAGACTTGGTTAGAAAATATTAGGAATGACCTTTCTTTATTAGATTTAAACGAGAATTTGACTTTTAATAGGACATAATGGAGAAAAAGGATTCATGTAGCTGACCCCACGTAGTGGGATAAAGGCTTGATGTTATTGTTGTTGTTGTTGTATTATATTTGTAATTATTTTTTTTAAAACTTTTCTTTACCCCTTCTCCATTGTTCGTTGCTCTTCAACTTCACCTCCTTTGCTTGATGGTTAGAGTTTTGAATGACTAGCTAAATAACTTCTTCGCCTCCTTCGACAACATCCGTTCCTATCGGATCCGAAATCACACTTCATCATTCATCTATTCGATCGGAAGTAAGGACGACGATGGGAGATTGCTTGTTGCGAAAGGTATCCATCTTTCTTTTGTTTGCATGCTTCTTCGGCCAAATCTACTGCGATCGGAAGTGACGATGACGGGAGCTTGCTCTTTACAAAGGTAGCCATCTTTCTTCTGTTCACGCGTTTCTTATGCTAAATTTACTGTGATTAGAAGTAACGACAATGACGATAGTTTGCTCGTTGCGAAGGTAGCCATCTTTCTTCCGTTCACATGCTTCTTCTTTGCTTGTTCCAATAATACCCTCCTGCCCATCTCAGTTTTCGGTTTAAAATTGACGGCATGATCAAAATAGTCTCATTTAGAGGAGTTGAGGGACCAAATTGGTCCCTCAAAATAATTGGGGATTATTTTTGTCTCTCACAAAGAGTTGAGGGACCATATTGGTCCTTTTCTAATAATTCTAAAATAAACTTCAAAAAATAATTGGCATGCTTGTCTTTTAAACAATAACATGAGCATTTCTAAGTATAGATATAGCTAACATAGTGTAGTAATAAATTTTAAAGAAAAATTGCTTTGATATTTAAATAAACAAATCACTTAATTTTATGTAATGAGCATGAGTATCTATAAGAATATGAAATGAATATATCAAGTGTTAAATCATGAAGTGCACTCTATTTATCAATTTTTTGCATCATTTTCAGCATTTTATTTTATTCATTTATTATTACTCATTAATTCATTAGAAATGTCAAATAATGCATTGTAGACTTTTTACTCATTTATATCATTGGTCATCAACTAGCATATCAACCCTAAAAATAAGTGATAAAATTTGAACAATCCAAAACATTTAATCATCAATGGCCCTCGACCTCAAGGTTAAATCTTATAGTATCAACTTTCTTGGATGAGAATTGGAAACTCTCTTTTTCCCAAATGGAGGCCTATCTTGTCAGAATTTTTGTCTCTTCCTGTGTAGATCATCATAATATGTTATTCTATCCCCAACCTTTTATTGACTCTTTTTTTCAATTTAATCTCATCATCATCAACATTTAAAATTTTCTTAGCACTGATATTCACCTAGCATTAATTAATCTATTTAGCATGCATTAAGCATCAACATGATCTATAAAAATTAACATTTATGCATTTAAATAAATATTAAACATTTTTTATTAAAATATCTTGAATTTTCTTTTTGCTGATGATAATTTTCTTGTTGATAAGATTAGAGAGGGAGTTGAAGGAAAAGTTGAATTATGTGGGTCAACCTTAGAGTTTAAAAGTTTTTGTTTGAGTATATTTAAAATAAAATACATGGAGTGTAATTTTAGTAGTAGTAGATCTAGTGGAGGGATTGTGACTTTGAGCAATTAAGTTATTAAAAAGAGTACATATAATGCGGTCATCCGACGATGGACGTTAATCAAAGGAAGAGACGAAGATCGACGACCGAGATTCCTCCATTTTATCTTAGTTTATTAATTATATATTTGATTTAATTATGCGTTTTCCATTTTTACCCTTAAGGGTCTTGTCTTATGTAAGCCTAAGGGGTAAAGTTGTCTTTTAGTTTCTTTTAAGGCCTATATATATAGAGGCCATTTCTCTTGTATTATGCAATGATGGATTAATAAAAAAATTGTTTCTATACTTTGTTCTTGAGAACTATGGAGTTCTTAGGAGAGTGGAAGTCCCTATGTGAGGGCAATGAAATACCCACCAACTGCAGGATATGTCTGGGCTCGTGGTTGAAGTCTCTAGGTGAGGGCATCACATCACCCGTCAGCCGCAGGATGTGTTCAGGCTTACGGTTTATCTTCGTTCCCTATCTCCTTCCCTCTCTCTTTTCTCACCTTATTCCAACTCTCGGCCACCACCTCCCCCTTCTCTCTACCGTCGGCTCCAATCCCCTCTCCACCACAAGTTTTCGTTTCTCCTCCCCACGCCCCCACTCCAACCGCCGGCTAGCTCAGCCTTAAACCCCACCACCACCTAACGTTAACCTAGATCCTAGCCGTCGGCCTCCCTTAGCCTTGTTTCCAAAATTTTCCCTGGCCCTTACTCATTTCCTAATATAGTTTGTGTTAGATTTGGAAGGATTATTAATCCATGTTTGAAATCAAATTCAAATTTGAAATATTTCCTAATTTAGTATAAGTTATATTTGGAAAGTTTTCAATTCTTCAACCAATCTCCTATTAGAATTAAATTAAAAACCGATTCTTAAATCACATCTTTAATTTAATTGGTTCTATTTAGGAAACTCCTTTGAATTATTTTCCCTCCCACTCTCTCCTTGAAACCGCCGGCCCCCTTTTCATGCACAAGTTTGAATTTTCAAATTCAAAATAGCCTCTTCATTACCTTCATAAATTAATCTGTTAACTTGGAAAATTTCTAATTTGAATTCAAATTAGTTTGAATTTCAAATCTCTTTCCTAATCAATAGAGCTTTTGCGTCCTCTCTATCCCACTCAGTTTCAAGAGTTTGTTATTTCAGTTTTTTCCAACACTTTATGGATGTCTTTGTTGCCCTCTTTATCATTTACTCCAGCTCAGGAGCACTAGGAACATTAGCACCAAACCTAATATTTCCTAAAAGTTATGTTTGTAACCTTCCGGCTTGATTTTCCTCTTGGGTGTGCTTTTACTTGAACTTATTGTTGCTGTAGTCAGTTCCTCCACTCAACAGCCCTCTTGCCATAATTTTACAGTAGTGAGAAGGGCTGACAAATTCTTAGTGGATCCTAGTTTTTATGTAGGTTCTCCGCTTTGGATCCTAAATGGATAGAGGACTTCATGCCCATGTCTAGGAGGTTGGAGAAATCCTTTTTAACCCATCACATAGCCATCTTTTTTAGCACTATTGTTTAGTCAAGAACATATATTGTTCTCGATATTATTATCTGTCAAAGTGCTTATTAAAGCTAGTAAGAATACTTGTTGAGTGTTTGGATGACGAATCCACCCAAAGGTTAGCTGGTTTCATTGACTTGATGCATGTCGCCCCAACTTCATGTGGATTTTCAATGTTTTTTTTGCTCATTAGTAGCGACTCCAGAGCTCCCATACATGTCAGAAAAACTTACCTTTGATTGCCAACCACCTCGTGGTTCCTGGACATGAGACCTCAAAATTTCTAATTGAAGTCCCATGCATGCCTTTTATGCCACTTGACTTGTCAGCTGGTGCAGTGGTCCGTCGAGTTCGACATCCTCATCCTACACCACCTCAAATGTGGTGTAGAGTTATTCGTTCAACCTTAACCTGTGGTGACACTTGTGAATCACCCTCAAATCTATCAAAATGACAGAACCTCCCCTTTGTCATTCTCCTTTTAAAATTTCTACCAAAATCTATATTTTTTTTATTAAAACTGATGTAATAGACACATGGGGATTCTTTTTAAAATTTTGTAATGAATTTCTACAACAATGGGTTACAAATTAAGCTCTGTAGTGATAGGTTAGAGAATTATGAGGGTGTCCTAAAATGTTTAGTACTCACGCCATTACATGATCACCTTCATTGCTTGTGTAGACTTAATTAAATATCTGCAGCTTTCCATTACTTGCCCTACAACTCTAGACAAATTTGAGTAGGCTCATAGGATATATCTTCTACAAAAGCTAAAAATAAACACAAATTTTCAAAACAACTCGACCATTGATCCACCTTTTCAATAAAACTAAAATCAACATTAGTTCAATTTGTAATCCAGACATGTCGTTACAACATAAGTTGTATCCCTTGTGTCTTAAACATTGGACTAGTCAAAAAATACTTGTCAAGGCATATTCATATTGCAAGCTTAAGACATGTCAGCAATAAATCAAGTTTAATATTACATCTGCATAAAATGCTATCATATGTATACTGGGTTGTCTTGCCGTATGACTCATTTTCTCCTTATTTGTTAGATTATATTACGTTTCATTGAGATGTGATGACATGAATTTAAAACATGCATAGATGGTGTTACAGGCAGCTCTCATCTAGATATTATAAGTCCATCTTGACATTGGGTTGACATGTCAAAGATGTTTGATAATATTGTTGATCTATGCTCGACATTGTTTGACATGTTTTTCACTAATAATACAATGCAGATGTGCATTACTTTGTCCAAAAAAGTTCACCAGTCTATCAAGGCATTCATGCAGACTTCGCAAATGTTTATAAACATCATATCACAATATTCACTCATATTAATGGATCGATATACACAGATTTTTAATAGCCCACGTTCTTCAATAATGGCAACCATTTATGTGGCAAATAAGCCTAAGACTTAGGTTCGACCTTATTAAGTCTCAATTGACCTCCGGGTTATGGTGAGTCAGCTAAACGTGCTTGTTAAAATTTCTCACTACTTTAAAACAGGTAAATTCTACTAAAAGGGTGCTTTGCCTATAGGATGAGGTCATAAGATCCTATAGTAGGTTGATTCCAGTATCTAAGTTATAAATCTCATGTGCGACGCGCCAAAAACCAATTTCGTAAGCCTCGGCTCTCTGACCAACCCTAAATAACGTAATAAGCCTTGAATTTTAGATTAAGTTAATAATAAACCAAGAACCCAAATGATGTTTATTGGGCCTTTCAATGAATATGAGCTCCATCCGAACTGACAGGCTTAGAAAAAAGTTGTTAATCCCATCAAACTAATTCATATAGGCCATCTCACTTGTAGGTCAAGGCTATAAAACCTATTATTTTGCTTTCCACATCCTTGATGATATACGCCCCATCTCTTTTAATCGGGTTGGTACAAAGCCTACACATCTATTAAATCAAACCATGTGCATTCTAATGGATATAAGCCCTAGCCTAATTAATAGGACCAACATGAAAGAAAACAAGCCCCATCAAATTAATCTAGTTAGTTAGATCACCTTACAATGATTAACATACAATTTTCTTGGTCCATTCAGACCAGTAGTGCTTGATATTGGTGATATGAGCATATATGCTCCAGAAATAATAATTGTTAATTTGTTTCAGAAGTTGATGCTTTCTGATCATCATTTATGGTTAAATCAGAACAATTGATTTAATAATTATGAAGATGAACTTTTTTCGTTTGTTTAAATTTGAATTTTTTTGCTCCTTGCACTTCAGATTATTTTGCTCAAAAAGCTTTCATTTTGGGTAATGTTCCTTCTACAGTTGTTTTTTATATGGTTGTGCCGGCATGATTATTTGTTTCTTTCGGTCTTGTCTTATTGATGGGATACCTAAATCTGCTGATATATTTATTGAATCTAAGATATGCATATCTTTAGAACTAGATTGTTTTAAAAAATCTGTCATCTTTTGCATGCTGAATATTGAATTTTTGTTGCAGCTTTGCTTATTCTCATTGGAATGTATTTGGGAGAAATCAAAAGCTCATCTTTCATTAGAAAGGGGACCAACATGAAAGCAAACAAGCCCCATCAAATTAATTTAGTTAATCACCTTACGAAGATTAAAATACAATTTTGTTGATCCATTCAGACCAGTAGTGCTTGATATTGGTGATATGCGCATATTTGCTCCAGAAATAAATATTGTTAATTTGTTTCAGAAATTAATGCTTTCTGATTATCATTCATGGTTAAATCAGAACAATTGATTTAATAATTATGAAGATGAACCTTTTTTTGTTTGTTTAAATTTTAAATTTTTTTGCTCCTTGCACTTCAGATTATTTTGCTAAAAAAACTTTCATTTTGGATCATGTTCCTTCTACAGTTGTTTTTTTATATGGTTGTGTTGGCATGATTATTTGTTTCTTTTGGTCTTGTCTTATTGACGGGATACCTAAATCTGCTCATATATTTATTGAATCTAAGATATGCATATCTTCAGCACTAGATTGTTTTAAAAAATCTGTTATCTTTTGCATGCTCAATATTGAATTTTTGTTGCAGCTTTGCTTATTCTCATAGGAATGTATTTGGGAGAAATCAAAAGCTCAACCTTTCATTAGAAAGGGGACAAATTGATTCCATATTTCGAATAAATTATAGTGATCCATGGATTGAAGGTGATGACAAGAGAACATCCAGAACTATCATGATTCAGGTATTCTATGAATTCTTTCCATCTCATTGGTTTGGTAGTGAAGCCTTTCTTTTCCTGTTACAATAAACTTTTATTTTTATTAGAATTCAAGGACTCCAGGAACTCTTGTCCATGGGGGTCAACAATCTGGTCATAGTGGCCTGACAATCAGACGAGTTACTGCTGGAATTGAATTTAGTCGTCCTGTTAGGCCCCAATGGAGTGGAACGGCTGGTATAATATTTCAGGTAACTGTCATTGTTATCTGTCATTACTGACATTCTAAGTCAGTGCTTACCTCTATCTATTTTGTGTGGCTTTTTTGGGAAATTCATCAAATGTTTGTTGAGCATATTCTATATTAGATCTTCATTCTTTTAGGAAATTTCCCGGCAGGTAAGTTTGTTTATGCATTGAGTGGCATAAATGATTTTACACTTGAACATAAACGTTGCACACCAGTATAGCCTAAATAAACCACCTTATGTATTTAAAAAAATAAACCACCTTATTAAGACATACCTAATGGCAAACAATAAGCATAGAACATGTAAAGATAAACTGTTGAAGTTATATCACATGTTTTTGCCATACAACTTTGTGATGAGGTTGTCACTCAAAATCCTGCTCAACAGAAGCTAAGTTGAACATTTAACAAATAGCCATAAGTATGATTTAACAATTTGCCAAAAGTATGAGCATACCACAACTTTTACAAGGAATTATACCAACTCTAACCACTTATACCAAGGAAAAGATTGTCAGTATACTTGCTGTAATTTATCATTATTGCTAATTAACCTACATGAAATATGCGATGATATTTCTAACTATAATTAAACTTGTGATACGCCTTAGGTTTCACAAATTAGGGTTTACCCTAATTTTCCTTCAAAGATGATATTTCTCCTCCAAATCAAGGAAAGTTTTCTTTTGTTTAGTTTAATTTGAAATGTAAGAGTTTGTTCGTCTCTTTCCTCGTCTTTAGTCATTTTCATCCGTAGAAGTCCGTCGTGTCTTTTGTGATCAGGAGATATAGGCTCCCTATATCTTTTGATTACATCAATAAATGGCTAGTTTGGAATCATTGGAGCTCTTTTGTTAAGGATGGTAGATGTACTTTTATGTGAGCCACATCCTCTTATTCACTTCACATTGATGTAGGCTTCCTTTACTATTGTAGGAATATACACCTTCAACTTTTGTTGGGGATTGACCACCATCATATTTGATTTATCCTTGAAAGTGTCCTTGTACTATCCTAGAATCTCTGAATGGATCATATGCTTGCTAGGTTGTTTTTTCTGCTCCTTCTGAGTTTAAAGAAAGCATCATAATATTTCAGGGGTATATTGAGTTAAAAGTATCCATAGATCTCCTTTTGCTAGTTGTTGGTGGTTTATTTTAATTCTAGGGAATTCACCTTGCTCATGGGCATAAGTCTCCATTTTCATTACATCCTTTCTTATAGAAAAGGACACTCTCGATTGAGAATATATGTTGTGCTCTAGAATGGAAGTTGTAAGCTTTTAGATTAGCAAGGGTGAGTGGCTTTTTAGCCTAAAAAAGAGCCCATGGTTATGTTGTTAGGTCGATATAATAGGTTTTGTCTTACAAAGTTGAAAGTCTTACAGCCATGGTGTTCAAAGAGCTTGATTAGCAATCATTGATTGTCTCCTATTGAGTATCTTGAGTAGACTTGGGCGACAATAAGTGAAAGGGCATATCCTCTCATGTTTAGGTCTTGTGTTTGAATTGGAAAGGCATTAGCGGGACAAAGTAGGCTTGATCTTGATTTCGAGCTTTGATGCCATGAACAATGATGGTTTGATGACTTAGCGTGATTTATTCATATTGAATGGTGCTCAAAGGTGTGAAGTATTGCCAATGTAGCTCAAATGCCTTATATGGTCAATTCATCTATCCATGAGCAAGCCTTGGCCTACCTTAACAAGGGGGTGTGCCCTAAAGCAGACAGGAGGGCATATGTCATGCAATGGGACATACTTTGTGCAACCATAGTCAATATTGGATGTTTGACTTGATAAGTGTCTTTAAGGACTAATCCCACGTCCCTGAGATGATTATATTGCATGGTTAAGGATAACACATCTCCACAAGTTGCATAAATAAGGGAGCTTTGAGTTAAGCTTAATTTCTTGGTTTAAGTTCAATGTAATTTAAAGGAATGCCTTCAACATAAGATGGAGTAAGTGTACTTTTTTGAAGGGTTTACTTTACTGATAAATTTAAAGATAATAACTTATTATATATATTATACTATAGGTTGCCTTTGAAAAGAAGACCTTATATCCCCAAGAAAGGCCAATTGATTTTGAAAAACTTGGGGCTTATGGTATTAAGCCTGGTTAGAGATTGAATTTTGGTTGAACTTTCTAGTAGATGGTTGACAAAGGTGATTCGATTTGGCTTTAGAGCAAGGGAGCTTAGCTTGAAGATTTTTTGAGTTGCTAGAAGGGAGTTGATCCAAATTGGTGCTTAATGGATTTGTGTCGGTGACATCGTTAACTTAGTTGGGAGTTAGTGATGGTACTTACATCTCTGAAGATAAGGGAGGGCCAAACACGAAAGTTACACCCAAAGATAGTGTTTGACTTAATGTTTTTTTGGCAATGCACCACTCTAGATGAAGTTTAAGCTTATATGCTAAAGGTCTAATAACGAAGCTTACAATGTTGAGGATGAGGGATGCACAAAGTTGGAACTTACAATTTTGTTGGTGGTCGGCCTAGGGTTGGACTCACAAATCTGTAGAAGGGCAGGGAAAAGATCTTTTGGTTGGTGAATTTTGTCATATATAATTCTAAATGCCTTATGTCAAAACAATGTCAAATATCTTGTCAAAGCATAAAAATGGTTTATCGAATTTCAAAAAGCACTGCACATGTTAATGCGTCACATTGAACCTCTAGGGCATTTTGTTGTTCCTTCATGTATTTGGATTAGATGTTCTCTTATTTAATGAGGTTTTATCTCTTTTTAGTACTTTGCTTGGCACCCGATCGAGCTAAGTTGTCTTGATATACAAAATTTGGTTTACGTAATTTCGAGTGGCTTGAGTCCTTAAATTCTATCAAATGGTGTAATTTTTTTAGTTTTTATAAACCTTGAATATTTTACAAATATTTTACTCGAGCAATAATTTGGTAATTTTGACTATACTTTTGTGGTTGCTAGGGCCTAATGAAACAAAATTACTCACAATTTTTAATGATGGTTGTGTTGAAAATGATTATCAACCAGAATGAATTTTACCTTTTAAATGCCCAAAACCCCTAATAAAATACAAATATATTTAAAATGACTTAAACATCACCCTGATGATGTCCGTGTTGAAAGTGAATCTCAACCGGAGGGATACTATCATCAAAATACCATATGCACTTAGATCAAACCCGATCCTTTGCCAGCAAGCGAATGGAGTTTAGAATGTTCAAATAACCAAAATATAAATTATTAAACCTTATTGATGGCTATCTTGAAAGAGAATAACAACCAAATGGGTCTATACCTTTTAAATACCTCCAAATCCCAAGGTTAATCTCTTAGGAGCTTGGATTTCAATAAAATTATAAGTTTGATATTTATCAATGTTTAAATATTTAAAATAAAATTAAATTACTTAAAAACTCAAATAAAAAATCCATCCAATCTCTACGATAGTTTGTCGAGGAAGATACATTTGAGAATATTTCAGCTCATAAAGAGCAAATATACGATCTAGTTTATCATTAAGATTCATTCGCATACAATTTTCTACCAGTAGAGATGTAACATGTGTTCTTTAACTAACGATTTCACCGCCAAATGACACCACAAATAAATGATTATGGACCGGGCTCTCTGATTGGGTGGTTTTATTGCTAATTGATGTCATTAAATTACGTTATAGCCAAAGCTTATATGTTCCTCGGTAAATCCAAACTATTGCGTAATGAATCATAGGCTATACTTAATAGGTCATAAAGTCCTCTGTTATTTAAGGTTGACTGAATGTATCCCCTTAGACAAACATGTACTTTAGGTCTACAAGGTACCCTTAGACAAAGCAACCCATGACTTCCAACCGTGATTCTTAGGCCCAGGTTGAGACGTCTGTCTCTTCCGACTAAGTAGACTTATGACCATGATAGCTTGGGATGACAGAATCATGTGATCTTAATCGGGCTCATCATTATTCCCCCATCATCCTTTTTAAGTATATGACAATAAATTTCAAATCCTAGAAATTTAAAAAATTTCAAAATTTAAACCCAAAAGGTGCTAGTACTATACGCTAGGTACTTAGTATTTATCTAATGACTAGTTTTAATTGAATATTCTCTCGCTTATGAGAAATCGAACCCTAGATCATAAAGTCCTCGCAAAATAAGGGTGCGATCTGCGGGTAGTGTCTTGTAATCCTCATGAAAATTTAACCCATAACCTAATCTTGTTAAAACTCTGCCCGCCAACAAAAAAAGCTTTAGAGAGGCCAGGGTGCGAATTTTCAAAGTCCACAATTCATGCATGTAATTCCAAAGTTGTGTGGTCTCTTCTAAGTGCTTATTTCTGCAAAAGCAAATACAAAGTTAAAGTACTGAATTATAAGCATAAGAAAAATAATCAGGAAAACTATTATATCAAATGACATCTATGCTCAGTGTAAGGAACTAAACTACCTTCATGGAGGGAGTTTCCCTTGCCCTCATAGTCGGAAGTTTGATTTTATTTATTTGGCTCTCTTTTTTTGTATTATCTAGGTTATCATATTCTCTACATATATTAACCCACATGCTCTCGCTTATCCATAAAGGTCACTTGCTCGACTTGTGAATATTGATAAACAAATTGCATAGGCGAGTGGACCTTGATTTTTTAAAACCTTTTTTTATTTTGTTATTGTGATGAGCAGTCACCTAAAATTGTTATGGATGACATAAAATAATGTAAAATAATAACTCAAGTAAATTAATTAAAATTTAAATTTTATAGTTACAATTATATTATCTCAAATTCTCTGAATCACATGTAACGGGCTTCCGCCGGTATTTTCTTCCACGATACAAAAGATGTATCAAACTTGCTCCTTATAATATCTCTTATCTTATGAGTAGTCTGCTTAGATGGGCTAAAGCTATAGAAATTAAGAAGGGGTGTTCATATAAATAAAACATAATATATTTAGGTAACAAAATAAAATTTAATTGCATACTTACGTGCCCCCATCTTGCTCAATATATATGCTGCCGTCCATACTCGCCGAAACACCCTCAGTGGCCTTACCTCTGTAGATGTAGAAGGTCTAGCAAGATTTGGTTGTGGTGGAGTAAGTTGAAAGGCTTGCATGAGATGGTGTTGGTGGATGGATTGGACAAAATGGAATGGCTTGCGCAAGATCTGGTGAAGGAAAATGTGAGTTGTGGTCTACAGAACTTGGAGCAGAAGTTGTAGCCTGAAGAGGGACTGTAGACTATGATCTTGACGGTCGCTCAGTACAACTGGACCCTGATGGGCTTGAAGTTAGCTTCTTCCGTTGACCAAAAATAGATGTAATAGGCCTGTTAGGCAGCTCATCCGTATATGCTATTTATAACCAAAAAATAATAAAAAAGGACTCAACGTAGAATATAACAGTCCAAAACATATGAAGTTGATGATTGTAAGCTAAAAACAGATAATTAAAACACATACTTAGCATACAAAATCATAATTCAATGGCATAGCACTTGAGTTTACACTTCGTTAATCATTAGAATTTTTTTTGATAGCCAGCGCAAAACTTGTCGAATAATCTTGACGTGAATTATTTTTAAAAAACTTATAATTTTTTTTTTCACCAACACAGTCATATATACTCGAATAATACAATCAAAATTAAAATTTCTTACCACACATAACCCACATATACAAATTTCCTACACAAGGAAAATAATTTAACTCTAACCTAAGACAATAATATATTCTTAGAACAAAAATTAATAAGGTAAAAGATAAACTCAAATTTAAATAAATATTAAAAAAAAAATCTAAACCTAAAATCTTCAAACTCTAAGTTAACAAAATCTAACTGGCAAATTCTCAAATTGATTGAAATTTTTTATACAGATAGAAATTTACCTTCAGATCTATGAAGAAATTGAAGAAAATCGAGCAAAAATCACTTTCACAGGTAGGGTGAGGTAGGATGACCAAAAGGGGACGAAATAGGGGAAATAGGCGGCTGCTGTTCGTCAAAGGAAAAAAGAATGGCGTCGGAGTTGGGTAGAATTATTTTTGTCTTTTCTATCAGATTTTCTGGCAAAAATGTCCGCTGAATTTATATTGGTTTTTTTCGGAGTAAGTTTGTGCCAGAAAATATGTTGAAATGGCTGATTTAATTCTGGCATCCATTTCACTGGAAAAATGGTTAGCCTTGGCGACCGTTTCAATTATGCCAATATCTGGAGGGAAAATTGTACTTCGCTATAGTCTTGGCAATCCTATCACTACTCAAGGTGATTTAATTTAGAGAACAATCATAATAATAATTATATCCAATTTTTAAGGCATAAATATGAACCTTTATTTATAATAAATTGTCCTTATTAACAAAATAACCTTGAATATTTTAAATAATACACTGCTAATCTTGAGTGATAGAATCCCTTATAAATTATGTTAAGATGAGCAGTAATAACAACATGGCCATTGTAAACAATTACTTGATTAATAACACGTAATCCATGATGTTCTGTGACTACTCATAACCAAGGATGGTAATCCGAATTTAGAAATGAAGCTTAATGATAATTCTCCATAGAAGTATAGATTTCCAGTAAAATTTTCAAGTTCTTCCTGTGAAATCTCTCCAAAAACGCTAGAAATTTCTATATTTGTCCCCATTATGGTGATCTATGATTTTCAGGTTTCTATAATTGGGATTACTATGGACGAAGAGCTAAAAAAATTAATAAAGATATTATGATAATGTACTCAAAATTTTTTAACTAAGCCTCGAAAGTATTTTTAACCAATAAATAAGGTTTTAACAATTATTGTTTCTGATATATACACCATTGTTGGAACAATGCTAATTACTCCATTTTTTTGTGATTATGAGTAATCAGTTTTGATTTAATCGAGCTTCTTGAATTTTGAGATAAGTTCTTATTATTGCTCTTCATGGCCAACAAGGTATCTTGCCTTTAGTCACACCGTCAGCATCATTATGCAATAAATTTGCCACACTATAACAATTGTATGATGCGGACATTGGCACGAAGATTTGGCGCATCTATCACAGGAGGCGTCGTAAATCGACGGCTCTAATTTACATTGTCGTTTATGATTTATTTTATGAAGTTTAGCTCTTATTTTATGTTATTTCCTGTTCTACCTCTAGGGTAGTTTATTTGAGTGTGGTGGCCCAAGGGGCATTTTTGTAATTTTTGATTTTCTCATGATGTGGCCTATATATAGGGCCTTAAGCCATTGTAATAGGATGGTTAATGGATATGAAAATTTTATGTTCCACACTTGTGTTCTTGGGAGAGAACGAGAGTGAGATTCCTATGGGAAGGAATCGAAGTTATCACCAGCCGCAGGATGGGTCCGGGCTCGTGAATTGAAGTCCCTTGGAGAAGGGCAATCGGATCACCCGTCAGTTTTCGGAAGAGTCCGAGGCTCAAGTTGTTTCTCTTATTTTGTTTCCTAATTTCGGTTGGGATCAATTGGAATTAATTTGTGATTCAAATTCATTCAAATTTGATTTTAAAATATTTCCGAAATTAGCTCTTATATTTTAGGAAAGTATTTGATTTAGATCTAATTTTGAATTTTAAATTCAAGAGGATTTGAATTAAATCTTTCCTAAATCTAAAACCCAACTTAGGAAGCTGTAATTGCTCTCATTAATAGCCCCCTTGGATACCCATACTGCCGGCCTCCTTCCATTGAGCTGGGATTGGGATTGCTTTCCTATTTCCTTTTCCTTACTCATTGGAATATTTCTAATTCCAACTCCCTGGCCGAAATTTACCTAAGCCATATTTCCTAAATCTATTCCTAAATTACAGCCTTGGTTTAGGAAATAATAAAACTTTCCTAACTGCTCAATCTCACGCCGCCTCCCTTCCCATTATTGCTGGCCATTGGAAATTTCTCCACAACTGTAGCAATTCACTTTGGAAGGAATTGTCCAAGCCTCTCTGCTGCTGGCCGAACTCCCTCTTGCCCCTTGTCTTGTTCTTTTTTCTTTGTTTTCTCCAAACTCCTCTTTCACAGAAACCTGAAACTTATTTCAGGCTTGGGTTTTGGGTTCTCTCACCAACAAAATTATTAGAAAACTTCTTCTCTTCGATTATTCTCTAGAGCATCACCTTCATTCATCTCAAGAGGTCTAAGCAAGACAAAGAAGAGGAAATCTGAATTCTCTCAGGTTTTGGGGGAACAAAACTGACATTGTTCTCATATTCGGAGAAGAAATCCTCTCCCTAGCAAAGTCATTTTTTCCCGTTCTACATCATTGTACCTCATATGACTAAATTTTAAATAAAAATATATGTTTAAATTTCATTTTGTGTAATTCTTTATATAATATTTATGATATGATTGTCTTTTTATTTTCATATCTTGATTTTTTGTAGAATTGTTTCTTTTAGCATGCTGGTGCGCGTGATGATAAAGGCAATCCCCTCATCAGAGATATTTATAATTGCCCTTTAACTGCAAGGTAACTTGATTTCTTCTAAGCTTGATGCTGAAGATATATTCACTTAAAGCCAATCCATTTTTGATTCAGCTATGCATTCCTGTAAGTAATCTGTCGCATTGAACTTGTAGTTCTTCCATGCAGCGGCAATCCTTATGATCAAATGCTGATTTCAAAACTTGAAGGTGTTTATACGGGCTCTAATGACTATGGATCTTCAATGGTTAAATTTCTTTTCTGACATATTATCTTACCATCTTTATAGATTGCACTTGGTCTATCTATTTCCTTTTCTAAGTGTGGTTCAATGTTCATGCTGCAGTTCTCATTCAACGTGGAACAGGGGCTTCCAGTTCATTCAGAATGGCTATGTTTCAATCGTGTTAGTGGTCGTGCCAGACAATGCCTAGAAGTGGGCCCATTACGATTCCTTTTAAGGTTTGATGTCTTCTTCAATTGTCTTTATGAATGATGGCACTTTTAGCTGTTTGTATGGTTGAAGCCAGTTGATGAGGAGAAGACAGTGGTAGATGTTGACCTTCACTTCTAATTTTGATTAAAGAAAACTGAAAAAGTACATTACAACCATACAAATGTATTATCTGCAATTATGTTGATCAAGTAGTCTGTCTGGCACATTAATTCATACCACTCCAACTTATATTAAGAAAAAAGAGAAAAGCAATATCCGAATTGGCGTCTAATATCTCATTTGAACTCTCGTATTAATGGCCTCCTTGCAAGGATATTCTAAATACGGAAATGATTAAAATTTGTTGGCATTTATTGTTAAATGTGAGTCTACCTTCCTTTCACATGCTCATGCAAACATTTATCTGTGCGCGCCAATATATAGATAAATAGATATGGATTGGTGTAATTATTCATGAAAGAGATTGTATGCAAAGCATGGGTATTACGTCCCAACATCTGCTGGGATAAAAGCCAGAAGCTGCTCATAAGAGTCATGTATTTGAATCATGGTTTCTTTGGTGATTGTCATAGTCACATCAACAGCGTGCAGAGCTAAGGATTTCTCGGTTCATGGCAGTGTATGTAAAAAGAATGAACTAGTATAAGATTCTAGTAATGGTAATCTGATGTAGAACGGATGGGGTGGGGGAAAAATTTGAAAATTGAAATTAAAATTAAATGAGAAAAAAGGGATGGTTAGTTAAATCCCATAATTGGATATCCAATTAAGGAATTCAATAACTATGGGGGGAGGGGCAGGCGGCATTAAGAGGGACTTGGGAGTTTATGGAGAGAGATTTAAATGCTTACCAAGTGGGGAACCTTAAATTAGGGAGGAATATTTAAATCAAGTCATATTTGAATTTGAAATATGTTTGATTTGAATACTTTCCTAAAATAAGATAACTAAATTAGGGAAAGGATTTGAAATTTAAATACATTTGAATTTAAATTCAAATGCTTTCCATATGAAAACACATCCAAAATAGGAAAGAAGACTATCAAGCAAGATGACTTCAATCAAGAGCAAAAGGGGAAGGGGCGGTTGGTAGAGAGAGAAGGGGCTGATTATGGGAGGAAAGGAAAAAAGAAATTAATCCAGTCTTTAATTAAGGGAGAAAGGATTTAATCAAATACAATTCCAAAATGATTGGCATTTGATTTGAAAAACTTTTCAAAAATAGATCTAGTAATTTAAGAAAGGTTTTGAATTTCAAACTAATTAATTGGATTTGAATTCAAAATTATTTTCAAATTATCTTCAACATAATTTAGGAAAACGAAGGGGAATGAAGAAGGGAAGAGGCTAAGGGTGAGGTGGTCGACCGGCTATGGAGGTGGAGGGGTTTATGATCGGCAGTTGATATGGATAAAGTGGAGGAGGCTTTGGTGGGGTTTGTGGGAGAATTGGACAGTGGCAAGTGGGGGATTTTGGCCGACGGTCAAGAGAGGAGGAGAAAAGGATTTAGGGAAAGAAAGATACAACCGTAAGCCCGCACACATCCTGCAGTTGACGGGTAATATGTTGCCCTTCTCTAAGGGACTTCAAGCTACGAGCCTAGACCCATCCTGGGGCTGGTGGAAGCTCCGATTCCCTCCCAAAGAAATCTCATCCAAGTTCTCTCCAAAGAACACGAGTGCAAACCTTTTTTTTTTAATTAATAATCCATCATGCTAATACAAGAGTAAGGGCCTCTATATATATAGGCTTCAAAACAAAAGAAATTAAAAAAAAAACAACTTTGCCCCTTAGGCTTACATAAGACAAGACTCTTAAATAAGGGTTAAAACGAGAAATGCAAAATTAAATAAAAAAACAATTAATAAACTAAGATAAAAAAGGAGTTATCTCGGCCGTTTATCATCATCTTTTCCATTGAGTAACGTCCACCGTCGGATGTCCGCATCATAATCTCTATTATGATTGCAATGGAAGCAAACTATTTATATAGAATATTCATTTGATCAGTAATTCATTTGACATAGTGCACGACTATCTCTAGTATACAGTGATCATCCTTATTTGTCTTTAGGTTAAATATTATTGCTTTAAATGTCATTTGATGTTTAGGACATCCAAATAAAGGAAGTAAATTAAATTGTCAATTCATTAATAAAATGCAAAATAACTAATACATCCAAATAACAATAGTTCTGATACAAGCCAATATGAATATAAATAGAACAAAAAGTAGGAAAAAATTACACAGCCTTTAGAATAAAAAACATAATAACCTACTACAAAATTATAAATACAAAAAACAGTCTACTGCTTGTAACCTTGTTCCTGAGGTGGCAGTCCACAAAACACGCATGAAGGATCTGCTGTAAAAAGAGACAACAGGGGAGTTTGATAAATCAAACTCAGCAAGTAACTCTTATCTATCAAAGCATAAACGACAAAGGGGTGGGACATGCAGTATGAACAACCAAAAGAAAGGAGTAATGACCTATAATCACAATATCAAAAACTGCCATGAAATATGCTATGTTTTATACAACATATTTTGATATGAATGTATACATGCCAATTAGTTATTGATGCTAAATCACTTAATGTTTACAATTGCACTACACTAGTTATCATTGTACCTCACAATGACCTATAAGTCATTTATTTATTTTAATTCAAATCCAATTATATATTCAAACATTTATATGTATATAACTACAAACAGTTTATCAAATACCCATCATCAGGAAGGTAAACACTAACCCAAAGAAATTTAGTGATTTCCTATAGAGTCATCACTCTGGGGGCCCGTCGACCCGGCTAGCCAATAACCAATAGGGTTCTATCGGCATACACATCAATGCATCCAAGCACAGTTTTCCAAAATTTTCATAAGTACTTTTCAATAGATTTTATAGTTTTAATATGATAAACATTATTTCATAAATAGAAATGCTTTGCCAATATAACATTCATTGCATTCAAATGAAAACACATGCATGAAAATTTATAAAAATAATAATAATGATATATGGGAATTTATACAACAATAAATTAAGAATAATCTACTTATGAAAATTTCTAGTTCATTATGAGCATTAAAAGATATTTACAAGTACTGGTAAATAATCAATAAATTTTACAATAATGATAGGACCGACGTTCTAATTCAATAGTCTAAACAACCTGATACAATTAATGCAGATTTTGCCCTTAACAAAGAATGTTACGTTTATTCAATAATAAATAGTAGTTACTTGTAGTGGTTGACAAAAACTCCAACCTCGATAGCGGTTTGCTCGACTCCACCAAGTGACGATCCTACAAGTAGCGAAATCAAAATAATATTAGGCACGTTCATCGATGCATAATGAAGAATATCCTAATCAACCTTAACCACGACATAAACACCAAAATTAATTATGAAATAATACAATCTAAAAAACTATAACCTAGGGTTTGATTAAGTAGAATATGAAATTTAGATAAAATTTCCTCTCCAACGTAATACAAAACTCCTATGAGAAATTTAAGGTTATGCGAAATATAATACAATCAAATTGAGCCTCACAATAGACATTAAAAAAATTCTTTCATAGATTATTAAAAATATAAGAAGGAGAAAGAGGGAAGGAGAGGGAAAACTTGCTATACAAGGAGAGGAGTTTGAGAAGAGTTTACCGAGAGTTGCTATTACGAGGAAGAAATGAAGAAAGAAGAGGAAGGCGAGTTTGATGGTTGCTATGAGCGAGAAAAGAGTAAAATGATGTCCTAAGTTCCCTAGTGGGTTTAATTGGTGAGAGTAAGGTCGCAGGGGCAGGAGGATTTTAAAAGGTGGAAAAATCATGTTATTTACACGGTTGGACAGAGGAGAATCATGGCTGGGTGACCGCTAAACCTATTCGCGAGCGAAAGGGAGAAGGTTTGCTTGGTTCAAGTGCAAGGCGGAGGCTTCTGCTTGGTTCGATCTCGCGTGGAGATCCGATCACACATTGCTTCGGTCACACAAATTGCTTGGATCAGCTGATCCAAGCATGGGATATCACAGTTCGGCCTCCCTTGTGGGGCCCAGGAAATATTTGATTCAATATGTTAGAAAGAGAAATAGATGGAGAGATATTTAGGAATGTTTTAATTATAGTTGGGGGGGGGATTTATTTAGGAAAGAGATCCAAATATAATTTAAATTAAGGGAATCAATTAAGGAAAGTGACTGGTTAGGAAGTAATTTGATAAGCTTATTTAGTGCTAATCATATTTTATTTTTAGATTATGTCTTGATTTGTGATTTGATGTAGTTTCTTTTCTTTGAGGGCATTCTAGCGGCATCTAAGTTGATTGGGAGTGCCGATCTACCTTTTTAATCGTAGATCATATGTATCTTGCTTCCGTATTGAAGTTATAATCCAAAATCAGCTATTATTCTCATAATTGTTGCAGTTTTCTATTTGTCTATCATTTTTTCACTTCCAAGGCATATGAAAACCTCAAAAAGGAAGAATCTACCCCTTTATTGAAAGCTGAAAGAAAAGTTTTCATTATAATATCTTCAACTGACTCGATTACAATACTCTGCGTGGTGCTCATGAAAATAAGCCTCTTTGAAATTTGGAAGTGACAAAATTATCCCTAAACAATAAGAAGTGATGAAATAATCCTAAATATGAAATGACATTTAACCCCCCTAGTAATTGATCTAATGAAAAATAAATTTGATAACATGGTAAATTAAATAAGATTTAAAATATAGATTCGTGACAACGAATTTATGTAAACTTGCACTGCAGCATGGTATTATTTAGATTGCTTAAAAATCGAAATTCAGGCTATTTTTATTCATATAAAATCTATGTTTGTGCTATAATTAACTGGATGATAGTATATAGTGATCCTTAAGTTTTGAATAATGTTTTAGTCTTTTAGATGAATCTTCTACCAAACTTTTAATCAAATCTATTAGGAAAGTCTGCTTCAAACAATCCGATAATTTCCTACTGAGATATTTATCTTCTGTAACATTGTGTATTTTTTCACGATCTTAGCAAATCCTTCCTTGAGTAAGTCCTGTCTTCAAAAGTTTTATTTCAAATGCCTACACTAAATTCACATTTATTTTTCTATTAAAATGCGTCTTTGAAAACCTACTTCTATTTCTCCACATTATATATCATACTTGTGACTTCATGATTTTTTTCTATTTATATCTATCTCATCATGTGCCTTTCAACTATTTGAGGTCGGTGTTATGAATTCTTATTCTTCATTTATTCCTATTGGGTGTTGTCTAAGATCTTAAATATATTCTTTACAAATCATTTTATATTTATATCCATGTAACGTGAAGTCTACCCCTTCTTCTTAATCCTATGACAATAATTTTATGAGCTCATTTTACATGCACATCTTTTACCATTCACAGCACATGTTCAAATCACCTAAGTCCATTTTCAATCGCCTTATTTTTAACAGATGACACTCCATCTTTTTTTCTAATATAATCATTTCTTAATTTATCTTTTTCTAATTTTACCACACATTCTCATTTTTATTGCTCTCAATTCATCTTAACATTGTTTTTGTAATTGTGGTAAATTTACCTTTAAGTTTTCATAATTTTCTCTTATCACACAAAAATCTCGAGGCACTTATCCATTTTTATCTTGCAACCTCAACTCTATAAGTGTTATTCTAATATATATATATATATATTGAACTTATCACATCTAACTATCATCTTATCTTCTAATAATAATAAATGCTAATTGTTAACATCATACCCATCAAAAATATAATATATACTCATTTTTTCTAATTTTAAGGCTTTTATCTTTTAGATATATTCTCTATTCTTTTAATTTTCATTTATTTTAGTAGATGTATTACTAATTAAAAATATCTTATTTGTTAAAAAGCATGCACTATGGATTCTCGCTTTAAATATCTTTGTAAGTATTTTCATATCCTTTAAAAAAAAGATATTGACTCATTGTTGATCCTTAATATAGACCTAAATTAACTAGAAACTATTGGGTTATTGCGCATCTAATAATACTTGTTAGTGCTCCATTATTCATATCATTAATAAGATGAACACATCTTTTGCACACAGTTGTATTGTGAAGCACCCCAAATCAATTCCATGAAGGTTTTTTATAGAAATTATATGAATGCTTTTTTCCTTTATTCTATATACTTCTCTATTAATTATCTTAACAAAAAAAACACTTTCATTGTAGTTTTTCCTTCACAAAACTAAATTGGTTCTCCTAAAATGTACTTTTTAGGCCTTTATTCCATTACTCTCTCCAATAAATTCAATATAAGACTCATAAGTTCGATTTCTCTATTAGCATAATCTTGAATATTTCTTTTATTCTTAAATATTGATATCAAAATAAATTTTCTCCAATTTTTTGGCATCGTCTTAGGTTTTAAATTCTTTTGAGATATTTATTAACCAAAATACTATAATATCATCCTTAATTCTCAATTGTCAATAGGTATCTCAAATAGACCCAAATCCTTTTTTTATGCATCTTAGAGCTAATTCACTTCATTTTTTTGAAACAATCTATTATATACTTCATAATATTGTTCGTTATGCTAATATACAATAATTTTTCTTAAGGCTTTATGCAAATTCTAAAAGTATCAAACCACTTTATGTGATGTCTTCATCTTTAATCGATATCCTATTATCTTTACTTTTAATGTATCTAATTTGATCAAGATTGATTGATCTCTTATCTCTTGATATAAATTTATTTTATAAATTTGGTACATAACATATAGATGTAAATATATTTTATCATATAACATAAATTAATAATAATTTATATTAAATTTATAAACTTATGTTAGAATTAAATTTATATTAAATATGTTTATTATGTCATCTGGTTCAACCGATCAAACCAATGAAACCGCGAATCTCTCATTCTGGTTTGTTGTGCGGTCCGATTTTCACAACCTTTATAATAATAACCATCTGTTCCTTTTCACTCTACCATCAAGTCTCTTTATCAATATATAATATATTTCTAGTCTCTCCTAATATTTTTGCAACAAACCTCTTAATTAAACTAGCCATCTATGCTATATTAGGTTGATTTCTGTTGAAGAATTCCAATTTGCTTGTCTTGACGATCTATCTTGAAAGTTTAATCATTTTTCACCTTTCTAATTTTGCCAACTTATCCTAAGGTCATAATTTCTTTTGATTATTTTTCTTTATACTCTTAAGGTATAAATTCATAACTATTATCCTATATCATGTTCTCAAACTTTATTGCAATCATCTTACAATCTTTGCAAGAATTTTTTTTTTCCTTCGAAGGAAGAATCTATTTGTGATTTTGTGACTCCACTCTTGAAAATAACCTAGTAGTATTTTAGTTTCGTAAAGTATGCATTCGCCAGTGTAAGATTATAAGTTGTTGCTAAATTAAATTTATCTTCTCCTATTACATTTCTATCTCCTTTTCGATAATCACCATCTATCCTCATTTAGTTCATCTTATTGGAATCTATGACTTTGTTTGGGACAACTTTCTTACTGCTTTCTAAAGTAACTTTCTAGTACAAAAAGTTCTTATTCATGAAATTTTTGTACTAAAAAGATGCTTTTAAAAGTAGTAAAAAAAGCTATCCCAAATGAAGCCTATATATTTATTTTAATAATCGCCAATAATTTTATTTTCAAGTATGTGCTATAATAGTACATCAATCTCTTCCAAAAGTGATTTTGTTAAACCTATTAGCATACAAATTTTTTATATTTCTACTGTTTATCCTCTAAGCAATCATATTCCTATTGCTAACCTTTCTAAGATACGAGCTTAAAACGTTCTTCGATATCCTCAGTTTTTTTCCTTCATTTTAGTTTTTTTGTAAACAAGTAGTATTTATTCTTCTTATTATAGAATCTGCCATTTCTTTTGTTTTAGACTTAGACATAGTCAACCTTTGCTTTTTTTTTTTCTTACTACAATCATGTTAACTTGTGGTGCATCACTTAAAGGTAATGTCCTAGCCCACCCTTGCTTACTTTCCACCTAAATTTGGTTTCTATTTAAATCATTATAACTTATAACCTTTTCCAGTATCCTTGGTTTGTTTCCGTTTGTTTTTTTAAGTTTCCTGTAAGCATGCTGTTTTTATTCTTTATCTTCTCATAGAGTCTACCGTTTCTTTTGTTTTCTATTTAGACTTTGTCAACTTTTACTTTTTTTTTTACCACAACCTAGTTAACTTGTGGTGCATCAGATAAGGGTAATGTCCTCCTTGCTTACTTTTCTTCACAATTGGGTTCATATTTAAATCATTAGAACTTATGACCTTATCTAATATCCTTAATTTTTTTATTTGTTTTTAGTTTCTTGTATACCAGCAATATTTTTTTTCTTCTTTCTAAAGTTCTTAAATTCTGTGGTAAATCTAATCTTATATTTAGACTTGATCAATTTTTTTGCTTATTTTTTACGGCAATCTTGATTACTTTTGGCGTGCCACTTTAAATTCACCATGTTTAGTTTTCTATTTCAATCCATCTTTAATAGAAATGCTCTTAAATTGGCATTACCGTTAGATATTTCAGAAAATTTGCAGAAAACTATGTAGTCTCTGTTTATGACTTCACAGAATGCAAATGCAAATGGTGCATGGGCATCTCATATGCGTGTTTGTTTCAGTATTACCTCTGTACCCATCCATACATATGTGGATTTGATCTTCAGTATTGAACAAACAGGGACCCTTGTGTGCTTTATTAGAGCATATCCAAGATTCCAAGTGAATTAATGTGGAGAAGCGCATAGTGAAATTCTTAAATTGATCTATAATTTTGTAGTTATAGTTTGAAATATAGTTTTCTGCTAATCTAATCCATTTAGTTATGGTAGCTACTAGTCTAAATAGATTTAGGAAATCGCTGCGTTATCACATTATTTATGTAGTTGTCTTCACTTTCGTGAAAGAAAGAACGTGTTAGGATTTATTGAACATGTATTCAAGTAATATTTGATATATATTTTGCTTGCCAATTCTGTAATTATTTTTCATATTTTGCTTTGAGAGTCAAAACTGAATTTTGTTTGTCTCTGTCATCTTTCTGTAAGTTCAGCTAAATTATTACTTGTGGAACAACTTTATGCCTGTTGGAAATTTTATAAGATATAATCATTACCTTTCAGCTTATCGGGAGGCCATGTAGTGGGTAATTTCTCTCCTCATGAAGCATTTGCAATTGGAGGAACCAACAGTGTAAGAGGATATGAAGAAGGTGCAGTGGGTTCTGGACGTTCATATGCTGTCGGGAGTGCAGAAATGTCTTCCCGCTTGGTAAGTTTTTTTGATGTTTTCTGTTGATGTATATTTATTATCTGCAACTTTTATAGCAAATGTAAACTAAATCTTTTATTTGTAAAGGTATCTTTGTTCATGGTTATATTAGTTCTCAGTACTATCATAAATATTTAAAATTTGCTAACGAAGGGCATAATATCTCCTAATTAGTTTTATTTTGGGAAGATATTTAATGCATCTATAACCTTTATGATGGTCAGTTCTATGGGTTCTGATTGGCAATTTTAAGTCATCTTTTGTGTTAGTCAAATTAGGTTTGCTTTTAAAAAACACACTTGGGTTTGATTTGTATGGATTGTTTGGCTCCATGACATAAATGCTGCCTATCTGGATCTAATGAAAATTTAATTGATTTCTTTTCTACACACTCTTCTTTTTTTATACTATGCTTCACTTAACAAACTTTTGATAGGAAATACCTGAGTTCGCAAGTAATCCTAGGGTAATACTTGAGTTCGCAAGCAAACCTAATCGAAATTGATGGGGAAAACAGCAAGAAAACTGCTGTTTTCAGTAGTGGACAGCAGCCAACTCAGGAAAACAAAGAAATTTTGAAGAAAAAATCAGGAAACAACTTGTATTTCACTAGTAGATGAATGAAATAAGTATCCTCTGTATGAGTGGCTGCACTGAAGAGGGAATGTTTTCCTCTTCCTCCAGTCTGACCCCTTCCAGGCGATGCAACTCCACCAAGTATCCTCCTCCCACTTCTTCTATGGTCCTAATCATAGACTTGAGAGATACCCCAGTCTTAGTTATCCCTGCATCACCCTGAATCACCATCTTCTTCCCCTTAACCACCAGCTCCATCTTCAATGTTCCCCAATTTCTCTTGGTATCTCCCAAGGACTGTAGCTATTTCATCCCCAAGATGACATCAGTGCTTCCCAACTCCAAGGGAAGAAAGTTCTCCCTCACCTGGATCCCCTAAATGATCAGTATTACTCCCTTACATACTGTCCATCTCCACTTTCCTCGTTCCCATCATCACTCCATATTCTCCTGTGTCCACTAATTCCATTCCAAGCAGATCAACCGTCTGGGTGGAAATGAAATTGTGGGTTGCTCCACTATCTATTAGCACCACTATCTCCTTATCAACTCTCTCTCTGTTCACTTTCATAGTATGATTCGGAGTGAATACCACTACTGAGTTCAGGGAGACTTCTGCCACATCCAGATGCATCTTTTCTTCTTCCTCCTCTAACCCACTTCCACCTCCCTCTTCATCTTCCTCATCATCACAAACAGTGAGAACCTGAAGAGTTTGGTCCTTGCACTTATGCACTGGCATGTACTTCTCATCACACCTAAAACACAACCCCTTGGTCCTCTTCTCCTGTATCTCATTCTCAGTTAGCCTTTTGAAGTTTCCCCCATTTCCCCCTCCAATTTTCTCCTTAGGCACTTCCTTCTAACTCCCCGGTACTGGTCCCCTGGAAGGTAAAATGGGGGTATTCATTCGGTATGAGCCCCCTGAATAGCAGCTTCTAGCCACTCTCTCCATCTTCCTCTGTTCTTCCACCAACTGTGCCAACTCCATGGCTTTTCCCAGGTTTCTTGTCTCCAAAATTCTAACTGCTGCCCATATCTCCGGTTTAAGCCCTTTCATAAAGTTTCCCTCCAAAGCTGTCTTTGAGATATGATCTAATCTGTTGGCCAAGTAATTGAACCGATCGCGGTAGTCGGCTACGGTCCCCTTCTGAGTCAAGGCAAAGAATTGTTCATAGAAGTATCTTCCCCTATCGGCTCGGAAACGTTCGAGTAAGCATTCTTTGAACTCCCTCCAAGTGCGGATGGGATCTCTCCTTTCACGCCATTGGTATCATGCAAGTGTCTTCCCTTCCAAACACAATCCTGCCGCAGTCAGCTTCTCCTCCTCCGTCAGCCCGTTAACGGTGAAGTATCGTTCCACCTTGTAGATCCAATCATGGTCATCTTCACCCTTAAAGACGGACATCTTCAGCTTCCTCACCCTTGGGTCTCCCCCGTTTCCCTTAATCCTCCATAACCTCCCATTCCTCGAAATGGAGGTGCTCCCCAATTATCACGATCTTCCCTCCGGCGATTATACCCGAACCCTTCATCGTTTTCCCCTCCTCCCTTCAAAATTAGCACCTCGGTGATGAAATTCTTTCATTCTCCCGACGAATCAGCACCCATTCGGTCATATCCCATACTCATCTTCTTCGTAGAAAGAGGTTCTAGGGGAGGCATCCCGTCATCTCCCTCAAGGATCTCCACTTCTGAATTCTCCCTCCCCCTAAACGTGTTCGGGTTTCCCCCTTCCATGGACGTTGGAAGTCTCCCTTGCTCTGATGTCGTCGGCTTATGTTTGTCTTCAAGCATCTTCTGCATCATGTCCTCCAAAGTGGCAAACCTTCCATCCATCTTTTCATTAATGGATGTGAATTGATTCTGAAAATCTGAAATTTACTCCTCAAAATCCATCTTCAGTTGACTTATTTCTCCCTCCAAGACTTCAACTTTCCTTCTGGCCATTTTCCTTCCCATGATCTACGAGAAGAACTTCTTGCAGATAAAAAAATCCTTGTTGAAATTTCAGAAATTCAGCCGCCGTTGGACCCAAAATCACGCTCTGATACCAATTTGATAGGAAATACTTGAGTTCGCAAGTAACCCTAGGGTAATACTTGAGTTCACAAGCAAACCTAATCGAAATTGATGGGGAAAACAACAATTGTTTTCAGTAGTGGACATAGGCCAACACAGGAAAACAGAGAAATTTTTAAAGGAAAAATCAGGAAACAGCTTGTATTCCACTAGTAGATGAATGAAAATAACAAACGATACAATGTTCTTCAATTCGAGAGGAAGAACAACTCTTTAAAACTCTCTAGCAAAGCCTAGAGCCCAAAACCAATAGGAGATCTCAAAATTTTAGCAAATCTCAAAACGCCCCCAAACCCTAGCCCTTATAGACTAATTAAAGCCAAAGGAAAATTACAAAATCCCTAAACAATCCCTAATTCAAATTTTCCCTTCTAAACACCAAATTACTTAAGTGGAGGGCCCCATAGAAGCTTCCGCCCCTCCCCTTGATCTTGCCCCCTGGTTGGGTCAGCAGCAATAGACCCTAACCAGTCCTAGTTGGACCGGCTGGGTGGGTTTAGCCGTAACAACTTTCCTCTTACCATAGATCTTGTTGGAGTACACCATTGAGGTTGAACGTTTTTAAAGCAACATAAGTAGAACATAAGCTGTGGATCTTACTATATCATAATTTTCTTCCCTCTCTCTTCAACGGGGGAGCTTGACAGTGTTATATAGCTTTTGAGATTTGTCGAATTCTTGGTATATTCTTTTTTGTTGATGATACTCTTCTTGTTGATAGAGAGGGAGTTGATGAAAAACTTGAATTATGAAGGTCAACGTTGGAGTTCCTTGGTTTTTGTTTGAGTGGATCTAAAACCAAGTATATGGATTATAATTTTAGTAGTAATAGATCTGGTGGCGTGGTTGTGATATTGGGTGATCAATTCATTAAAAATAGTATATGTTTTAGTTATCTTAGGTCTATTATTCAGTGCAATAGTGTAATAGATGAGAATATTACTGATAGAATTCAAGTTGGATGGTTGAAGTGAAGGATTACATTAGGCTTATTGTGTGATAGAAAAGTGCCCATCAAACTTAATGGAAAATTTTATAAGATTGCTTAAATTTAATAAAAGCTTTGTTAAACTAATTAAATTAAAATTAATTAATAAAAAAAGTGAGGGAAAGCCCACGTCATGCTTGCACAGATCGCCTCCTTCCCCACGTTGTTGAGATAACTGTTTCCTCGGTTGTGTAAAAGGAACGAGGAAAATGAACAAAAAAAAAGTTACGCTCCCTTGCGCTTGAAGACTGGTTGCTCTCGGTAGCTCTTGAACTTGGCTCTTGACTTCTTCTGCTTTAGTGAATTCGATCCTTTCGGTGGCAATATCCTGATCCGCACGCACAAGTGCGGTACCGAACTCTTCCATGTTTTCCTTGCCAACATCTCTCGAGCCATACTCGAGACTCCCACACCTTTCAGCCATTCCGACTACATCTCTCGACCGCAACCAGACCGCGACCATGGTGACCCACAAGCTTGAGTGCCAAAGTCGAGCCTGTCGCCCGTGATGTCTGATTTTCTTTTCCAATTCCGATCGACCTGCATGATTCCTGAACACCGCCCGACTATTTGCAGCTTGAAGCCGATCACAACACCCGCACGAAGCCGCACTGCACGGAACCCCCATGAAGCCGCTTCACACACGAGTATTCTCGTGTGAACAGCCCATGCCTTTTCTTCCTACACAAGCTTTCGAATCCAAATGTAAGCTTGCCGCCGACACCTCCAACCCTTTCGATTTACTCTAGTCTGCATTGCCTATACACCCACGAGCGAATATGTTTGTCCATCTCCCTCTGCGATCACGCTTTATGCAAGTTTGCTTCTACCTAGTCTTCCGATTGGAACCCACACTAGATCAGCCTCTGTTGTTTGAAACAATGAGTGAAAAAGGAAGAGTAGTTTATTATTAATAATATATATTATAGTTATTAATAAATAGTAATAATTATTAATAATAATGATTATTATAACTATTAATAGTATTAGTATTATTATTAATAAAAGCTGAGGCCGTATGCCGAATAGGAGAACGAAGATTTATTTCGAGGTTGATATGCCCCCCGAAGTACTCAGCTATCATTCTGATCCAACTGAATGGATTAAAAGGGCAGTGCCCTCCCCTAACCTCCCCTCGCGGGTTCATTTAATTAAAACTTTAAATTTAATTAACTGATTAAAATTAAAAATTAAAATCTTCTAAACCAATTAATTAAAGTCTAAACCTTTAAAATTAATTAACTAATAAAAGCAACCTATGATGCACGGACACGAACACGGTGACATGGATACGACACAATATCATTATTGAAAATATAAGATACGGACACAATATCATAGTTTTTATATTTTAAAAATAGTATATAAAAATTTATTAAATATAATTTTAAAAATAATTTAGAAATAATAAGTCATTTAATAAGAATTTGTGCTTAAAATGATTATTATTAGGATGTTGAGAGTCAGATATAGATCTCGTTTATCAGTCATCGAGAGAGGAGATGGAAATGCTGTTAAGAGTTGTGCATTGATGTACGCAACAAATATTGAGCATCAATGTTGAGAGGGCGTTTATCGTCGATATTGAGAGGGCGTTGGTCGTAGATGTTGAGAAGGCGTTGGACAAAGATGAGATGTCAAGTTGTGGGTGTAAAAATTGTTAGCATCGAGCATCAATATAAAGAAAGTGTCAGACTTTGATATGGAGATCGTTTTCAAATATTGATGTTGTAGCGATGTCAGACGTTGATGATGAGATGACATTCGACATTGTTGTGAAATTAAAGTTATAGCCCACAAAAGAGAAACGAAAATGTGAATATTCGATGAATGGGGTATTAATTACGGGCGATTGATTTGGTGTTGTGTATATGAAATAAGAAATTTAATTTGTATATTTTAAATAAGTAAAAATTTTAAATACAAGAAATTACATTTAAAAAAATTCATAAAATATTTAAGTTACATGTGACCGACATAGGTGTCCAATTCGTATTTAAGCATGTCTGACACGTGTCGGAGGATTGTCGAACGTGTGGACTGGGGAGCCCGCTAACCATCTAGGTACTTTAAAATTATGAGTTCGGTCTTTAATGAAAGAGTGAGTAAGGACGTTGTGTAGTAAGTTTGAGGAAATGAGGCCGACATCTATAGCAGATCCTAATTGGCCCATTGACTTATGTTGGGTAGTATAAAACTTGAAATAAAAATGTAATTAAGCTTTAGACTCATTTAAATTTGTTTCTAATACAATGTATGCTAGTTGACTTAATGAATGCTTAAATCAAAATGAAGTAGTTTTAAAATCAGACTTAAAAAATAGATATTATTCTAAGGAATGCATAACATCCCCTTAACACGACTGCACCCTAATAGATCAGGTGGCCTACCAGAACCTGTAGACATGGGGGTGCCTAATAAGACAGAGAAGAATTCAGTATGTATGCATGAAAAACTCTCGGTGGTCCGAGCTTACTTCTCAAGATTGTTAGAGTTTCTATGTGAGCTTAAAAATATTAATTTAAATTAAAGTAGAAATAGTTTAAGTGTACCCTCACGAGTCTCCAATTAGATTTCAAGCTAAATCAAAGATCGACATGCAAAATCGCCACAAAAACTACTAAAAGCATGCAATTCTAATCACAAACTACTAAATGCATTCAGCTTAAGCACAAGAGGAAAGTGTCTATGCAAAATCTAAAGCCATAAAGATAAGAGAAGATTGTAGAAGAATCTAAACTATTAATTTATTTGAGTCATGTATTCTTATATGTATCAGTTACATGATTGATGTGAAACAATCAATCACATACACACGAGAATGTAATTAGGATCAATTAATTTTGAAAATTGTGTAAAATCATTAATCAAGTTAACTTGATCTTTGTAGATTGTATTGCTTGATAACATTATTATACTGACAATGTGTGCGACATTTTTAGTATTTTTATAAGAAAGATCAAATTATATTGATCATTTAAAATAAAAAATTAAAAAGATGAAATTAATCATATTATACAAATCCTATCATACTAAATGATAAATAATAAGGAAATTTTGTAATCATCATATGCTCCTTTTTTTAATTAGGTTAAAATATAATATTGTATGATGATATAAGCAATTAATCTAATTAAAACCTGCATATCCAAGTTTAAATTAATAATTAAATCCAAAAAAAAAAATTGTACTGTATCATTCATATTCATATCATATAGGCCGATCAAATAGAAGCAGTTTTTCAACAAATCACTTTAATAAAGTAATCTTACTATGCAATTTATAACATATAGTCCGATCAAACAGATATGCTTTTCTCCCAAATCACCTTAATGAACTAATTTTACTATATGATTTAGTTGAAATTTCTTATAATATCATGTAAGAGTTTCTAATTAAAGATCCTTAATATAAATACCCTTCTATTAATCTTAAAATATAATTTTTGAGATTAAGGCTGATGTTACTTGAAAGCTTTTGAGGAGAAAATTTTCTTTGCTACCTCTCTTGATTATTATTGCTTTCACCATTGAAAAAGAGAGATTTTTGTGTGAGCTTTGCACTTTGTTTGCGTTTCTCTAATCACGTTCTTGATCTTTGATTTGATATTCCAAAGTTCTCTTTTAAGAACTATTGTACGTTGATTCTAAGAGATCTGTTGATCTCATGGAGATTTCTTGTATTGTGTAGTTTAGTCAGTGGGCTATGCTAGTTATAGTTTTTAGGAAGAGAAGAGGTGTAAGGGTTTCTCCATTTCCTAGTGAAGAAGAGAGGCTTCTTTGACTTGTGATGAGCAAAAGGAGAGAGTTTAGTGGAATTCTTAAGTAGAGGACTTGGAGAGAAAACCTAGTCTAGTAGGGCAATAACAACAACAACATCAAGTATTTATCCTACTATGTAAGATCGGCATAGGCTAGTAGGGCGAATCATTAAAAATTTTATTTACATCTCTTTTTTTTTTGCACTTTATTGTGATACTTATGTTATTTGTGATGATGGCAGTTGGTTATGCTCCGATCTTCTCTTGCAATGTGAAGAATATGAAAAATAAATTAAATACTTGTTGATCTTTTTTGGCTTTAAAACAATATATACACACACCCCAACTCTTAAATTTGCCGCATACTTCATGAATTGCATGTTAAATATGGCATTGTCTGACTAAGAACTAAGAACATCCCCAACCTTACGGAGTGTATGATCATTTCCAATGGTAATATATATTTAAACTATGTTATAATTACTAACAATTGTAAGCTATAATCAATATAGGATTGGTCTTCAAATTTGTGTGCTTTCTAAGAACTTCACTTAGAACTGCTGTTCGCTACTGTGATCTCAAAGTATAAAAATTATTGCCGAGATATTTAATTAAGTCAAATTCTTGAAACATGAGCCAACATTAATGCAAGCTTATAGGCTTCTGAGTGGCAAAACTATATGGTGCTTTATTTCTTGTGAAGGATACTTATGAATAGCAAATATTTGATTTTACATTTTATAAGCTTGACGATGAGAGTATTTACTATCCTCATTTTTCTGGTAACTTCCTATTATATTTATTAGCATATGGATTTGTCATGTCATTTAATTTCACTGAAGCCTATAATTTTTGTTGCACACTCTTTTTGTAGGTTGGACCCGTAGAAGTTGTGTTGTTTGGTGACTATGGTAGTGATTTTGGTTCAGGCTCAACTGTTCCTGGTAGGTCTTGTACCCTTTATGCTACCAATCCATTTTATATGTGGTAATACTAAGAAGAATTTTGTGAAAGTAGTGATTTACACATAAAAGAGACCAATAACCTGCAACAATTGTACAACATGCAAAAGTGTTTCTGCCATACATTATGTTATATTTTTTCTTCTTAATTCATCTTATGCCGCTAGTTTTTAAGCATGCATATAATGTGTGAAAAGATGCAACATTTAGCATTCATTACGAGAGCGGGCATACCTTTTTCTTAGTTGTCTGGTTGAACAAATTATTTTTAGCTATAGTAGTTTTCTGCAAAACATAATAACTTTTTTGTATTCAGTAAGTTCTGTTTCTAGCTGAAATTGAAGTCATTTTAAATGTCTTTAGAAGCAGACACCGAATCGTGAATATTTTCAGTGCTGCAAGGGTGTTTGCATTGCTTCATGTTTCTACTTTCAGTCTCAAATTCTAAACCATTGGAGAAAATGAGCTACAGTGATTCAGGTTGAATTTGGTTCAACTCAAATTAGGAAAGTCCTAGGGTTCATCTAAGGCATTGGTAGTTCTTTATCTTGGATATACTTCCTTTATCGCAATAGATTATATTAGCTTCTACACTATTAGCCACCTTGGATGGCAACTATTTTAGATCATTGATGACATTTCTGATATTGGGTTTTTCTGATCTCTCTTTTGAATTTTCTCTTCTTGCCTTGAAGATAAATATAATTCTCTTAGCTTGTGGAGATTTGAACTCTTTTGTATTCAAATATATCAATGAAAATACGCCAAGGAAACAAAGTATATCTACTATGCTTGCATTGAACTTTACGATATTACCGTTAGAACCTGTATGGATAGTTGAATGTCATTAATCTAATTATCATTTCTTTCATGATCAGGTGATCCTGCTGGCGCAAGGGGAAAGCCTGGCTATGGCCATGGCTATGGTGTGGGCATTCGCGTGGACTCCCCATTGGGGCCCCTCCGTCTGGAATATGCCCTCAATGACAAATTTGCGAGGAGGTTCCATTTTGGAGTCGGCCTTAGGAACTAAAAGTCTCTTGATTTCCCTCTCCAACAAAATTACCTCAGGCTATATCATTTCATTTCATTTTTTTTCTTCCTTATGCGGTTCATTCGGCTTCATGAGAGCATCAGCAGGTGCACCAGTAGCAAATTCTGATCCATCTTGTTTTACTTAGTTCAGAAAAGTTGATTATTTGTGAAGTTCCTTTCATTTTTATTCAATTTACCTTACTGTGATTTCTACCTTTTGAACTGTTGCACTAACCGTTGGCCGAATTTCAGTAATAGCATCGTAGAGGCGGGGAAATTTGGTGCAGCTTGTGGAGGATTTGGATGCAATTTATGTGCCAAATAGTTTTTTTTTTCAGGTATTAAGATGGAAATCAAGATTTTGGCTTCATTTAGGATGATTTTTTTATTGCTTTATGAAGTAATTTTTTAATACAAAAATTTTTAGTTAAAAAAATGTGTTAAAAAAATTGTTTTATAAAAGTAATAAAAAATTGTCCCAAAAGAAGCTTCTGGTAATAATGAGCTAAATTTAGGATATATTTGGATTGAACTTTCAGATTTTGTTTTTAGATTATAATTATACTTTTATTTGGCCATTATTTTTTAGAAATTTTTGTAGTTTAAGTTTATTTGTTTATGTATGGTAGTTATAAAAAACTTTTATCTGGTTTTTCTTAAAAATATATATTTAGAAAATATTCACAATAAATTCTTTATTTTTTTTAATAATTTTACAAATTCTTTTTAACTAATAGAATTTAGAGGATGCACGATTGAAGGCCATGTTAAATCTTTTTACTATATTTCTTCTAAATCCATGGAGTTAAATATTTTTTCTATATTTCTCTAAATACATTGACTGAAGATGGCGGGTTAGGTAGAATCCTACCCAAAAAATAAGTGTAGGGCACAACTTTAAGAAGATAAAATCATGATAAGTTAGCAGCAAATGCAATAAAGAATTAGATTTCATCCATACAGTTTTTTTATTTTTTAGAAGAAAAAATTTAATTTTTTATATTAAAAAATAATAAGAAAGCCATTCCAAATGGGACTTTAATCTTTAATCTGTTGTCACAAAGTTATCATTGCGAACATTTGAAGAAAATCTCTGGTAACATTGAAAGGTGAATTGAAAAAATTATTAGGTGCACGTGTACTGTCCGCACAAACATGAGTATCTAGCGGTCTCCAGGGGTACGGAGTGCTGGTACTTAACGCGGAATAAGACTTGTGCGGATGGTTCTCTTCATCTGCACTCCGCACCTAATAATCTCTCGAGAGAAATGACAGTAGTTTGTTGCAAAGTGATTCATTCTGTTTATTAATTTAGAAAATCATGCAAAAAAAAGTCATTCTTTGCATTATTTGGTAAATACGGTCTCTAATGATTTGGTTTTGTGTTCAAATATATTTGTAATAAGGAGAAATTCATATTACTGTTGGATCTAAATTTGTTGGTAGAAGATATTCATTTTTTTTTGATTCATCCATCAAACACTTCATTATCATTATATAATGAAAGCGGGTTGATGTTTATCTAAATCATGTTGTACACCTAAGAGAGATGGTGTATTGGTGTATATTAAGATGTTAAATTTGTGTGGAAGTGTTTATAAACAAAAATTTTATTATTTTTCTATTTAAAAATTAACGAGAGTAAAAATAATAATCATAATTGATACGGCATCTCCTTTTAAAACTTTATCAAGGTAAAGTTTTATTGAAATAAAACTATTTTGAAATAATATATTTTTATTATCTTATGAAATGTTTTTTTGACAAATCAAATCATCAATTTAATTCCAGGACGCAACAATAATAATTAAAAACTTCCTTTTAAAACTTTCTCAAGGTAAAGTTTTATTGAAATAAAACTATTTTGAAATAATATATTTTTATTATCTTATGAAATGTTTTTTTGACAAATCAATTCATCAAGTTATCACAAATAGAAATAAGATTGTAATAAGTGTAGGAAAATAATAAAAATGAAAATCATTTATAATGGTTTGGTCAATTCATTATGTCCATTCTTTTAGTTCTCTACTCAAGAATTCTTTTAACTCTAACTTTTTGCATCTAATAAAGTGGGGAAATTTCTCTCCTTCTGCTCCCAGTAAGACGAAGATTCTATTTTTCTTCAGAGTAATGATAGAATCCTACAATGTCTTTCTCATCAAAAAGCAACTTTTACCTAGCCTCCTTGGCTAGAACCAAGTATCCTACCAAGACTCATCAGAGCAATTTTTCCAAGAATTTTTACAATAATCTTGAGAAACTAGGAAGTAGGTTGGACTATAGAAATATCTCACCCTTTCTTTTGGTCTATCCCAAAAAATTTCTCCAATATATCTCCTAATACTCTCTTGAAAGCTTTCTCCAAAATATCATGCAAGCATTCTAACTCTCAAATCTTCGCCTAAAACTCTCTTTAAAGTTTCACTTCAAGCTCACACAAGCTCTATAGCTCTCAGGAAAAACTTTGGTCAAAAAGATCTCGCACTCTTGGGCATTCATGTTTATATGATGGGCTCAAAAGAAACCCTAAAAACACTTTATTAATATTATCCTCCTGATCTAACATTAATTATGGATCATTGATTGTATAGTACGATTAATACAATTAGCCTGAAATCATAAAAGTATTCTCTATTTGATCAGATTATACTTTATGGATCATATAATATGATTAATTATGCTTGCTCAAAAAAATGGCATGAATGCATGAATACCACTTTACAACTATAGGATTTCATTTCCCATAAGTAAGATTGTAATTAACCAGATTTTTCTTAAGGGTAGTGTCAGGGTTTAAAGATCTGGAGTCCCTACTTCCCATGAGTACAAGCACTCATAGTTAATTATCCATCTTCACACATAAGAGATAACTCTCGATTAAGGATGAAATAATTTTTAGTTAATTTAGTCTCAATTGTGAGGAAAATGTAGGTAAACCCGATCAAGATCCAATGATTCTGTCGTCCTGGGTATACCGAAGATTTTAATCTACCAATACTAACAATCATTGATCGTAGTGTCTAGGGAATCAAATTAGCAACCATGAGTTGCCTCTTCTTAGGGATCCCGAGTAGAGTTAAGTGGTTAGATATAGATTTTTTTTGTTTTAATTTTATTTGGTGTTTTGGGATTTATATATATTAGAATACCCAAAAATTGATTTAGTTTAGGATTTATGACTTCATTTAGAAGTAACTGATGAATTTGGATTGGAGAGGGACTAATGACTTCTTTAGTAAGTATCCCATGTATTTAAATTTAGGTTGGGATTTACACCTTTAGTAGAAAGTAACCCAGGTATTTGATTTGGAATGGGGCTTACTGTTCTATTAATGAGTTGTCCAAAGATGGGTGCTACAACCTAACTCTGCAACAAGGTTGCTCAGGGATTTTGTTTGGATTTGGGATAGGTATTATTATTTCTCTTAGGATGTTGCTTGAAAGCGGGTCTTATGACTTAATCCTTTAGACTAAGAAGCCCATTAATTTGAATTAGATTGTTTGGGGTTTAGGATCATTGCTATTTATTTAATAATTTTTCTAAAACGTGGGTCTTATGACTTCACTTAGAAGTTGTCCATTAGCGGGTCTTACAACATAATCCTATAGACTAGAGTGCTCAAAGGTTTAAATTTGATTGTTTGGATTGGATTTGGGTTAGGTCTTATAGTTTCCCTTAGAAAGTTGTCTGGTTATTTCTTGGATTATTAGGGTCGATGTACTTCATTTTAAAAAAAATTTCTAATGCATGAGACTTATGACTTCACTTACTAATGGCCCGTTGATAGGTCTTACAATCTAAACCTATAAGCTAGGATTCCTGAATTCTTGTCTTCATTGTAAGAAGCAATACTATAAGGGAAGTGAAGCTTGGTTATGTTAATAGATGGAAATGAAATTCCAATCAAAAAGCTAATTAGGAATCCAACAAAAGTGATCATGATGAGCCTCATACTATCATTTGTTTTCCTTATAAATCCTCTACGTCCCAGAGCTCCATGTTTTGCCATGAACTTTGTATTTTAAATTAAAAAAAAGGGGGAATACGTTTATGTAATAAAGAGCATCACCACAAATTTCTGTAATTTCATAATTTCTTATTGTTCAACAAGCAGATATTCTCACTTTCTGCCACTGTATAAGCTCAAGTAGGATGTCGCAAAATCAGTTGACTAGAAAAATTGAGGATTGTTTGGATTAGTAAAATCATTGTTGTTATTCTAGCTGAAGGCTAAGATTTTTTTTTTTCTTTTTAGTTAAAATAAATTTCCTATATTGATATTTTATGCAGCCAGTACGCATCGTACTTGGATTATCTTGAGAATCTCAAACCAAATCTTCTCATGGATATTTATTTACAGGATCATGTTGAGCCTATTGTACGTTCAAATTTTCCATAAACCATTTTTTGATTTATTTAGTCATAAATATTAGATTCAATCTGAAAATGAACCTAAAAGACTCATGCCTTTGTTGTCTAAGAAGTATTCAAATATATTTATTAAATATTTGAGGAATTCCTTTATTTAATGATGATTCTTATTTTTTGAGGAATTCCTTTATTTTGAGGACTTGTTTTTTTTTTTAATCTATTTTTGTTGTTCATACAACTTGCCCAAATATTAACTTCTGATGGGCCATTGTAATTATTATTTACAAATTCTCGATGGATTTAATTCATATGTAATTATCAACTTTATTTTTTGCTTTTGCATCAAGTACAGGTTAAAGATGACAAATTTATTTTTAAATGCTAAAATCATTAATTATTTATGTTTGATTTTAAATTAACAATTTGAATTTTGAATCATTTTTATAATATTTCTTGAATTTTGATTAATCAATTGATATATTTAATCGCAATTCAATTACTCACCAAATTTTAATAAACTCGTAGAGCAATTTTGAGGTCTTGAATTTGAAAACTTCCCGGTCGGACCTATGGTCGACGACACGAGATCTTCATTTTAAAATTATCTCGACCGGACTTAAAGTCGATTGTGCGAGGTCTTCATTTTAAAACCATCTCAACCAAACTTAAAGTCAATGGTGCGAGATCTTCTTTTGATTTTATATTAAAAAATCTGATTTGATTTATAAAAAATTAGATTTGAAAATTTTTATGTATGAAAATCTAATTTGAAATCAATTTTATTAAAAAAAAAAAATCTGATTTAAAAACACTAATTTAATTTATTAAAAATCTGATTTGATTTATAAAAAATTAGATTTGAAAATTTTGATTTATGAAAATCTAATTTGAAATCAATTTTATAAAAAAAAAAAATCTGATTTAAAAACACTAATTTATTTTATAAAAAATCTGATTTAAAATCAGATTTATAAAGATCTGATTTTTTTTAAAAAAAAATCTAATTTAAAAAAAATTAGATTTATAAAAAAATATGATTTGAAAAATCTGATTTGTAATCAGACTTATAAAATTCTGATTTAAAATCTATTTTATAAAAAAATCAGATTTGAATAGCCGCATTAAAATTGAGATAAAAAAAATATTTTTCACTTATCTTTTAAGTTATTGGAAACTGAAAGTTGCAGGCAATATGAAGCCACTGTCACAGTTCAGAGAAATGTAATATGAGTAAATACAAGCACAGAAGGATATATTTGACATTTGCCTAACAATAGGCATGCAATATTTCTGTTTTAGATTGGAAAAGACATCATTAACTAGCTGCCTTCCCCTTCATTTTGCCCTAGCCGCCAATTTTTGGCTTGCCCTTCGCCGGTGGTACCACGCGCTTCTCTCCACATGGATCCCTCCTCCCCTCTCCACTTCCGCCCGCTTGGCACCTCCACCTCCACACCTCCCGTTGCACCTCTCGTCCTGGACCGACTCTGATCAAACATTATTACTACTCCAGAAATATCTAAGCCCTTTATCCCGATTTCTCTCATTGAAACTCCGAAAGAAATTGTTCCTTTTAACAAGGATTTTACAGATGCAACAGCCGCGGAATGGAACCTTTCTCTGGTTGGATACTCTGTCAGTAAACGTCCCTACTACGAATCTCTTCTTACTACTGCTTCAAAGGTACTTTTTCAGCTTATTGCACGTAGCAATGGGTTCTTTCTTTTCAAATTCTCTAATGGAGTAGATTATGATATGGTATGGTCCAAAGGTGCCTTGTTTTTCCATGGAAAACCCTTCATCTTCCAAAAATGGAACAAAAATTTTCATCCAACCAGAGAAAAGTTCACCTATGTTCCTATTTGGGTTAGAATACACGACTTACCCCTTGGTCTGTTAGAATTTTGAAGGAATCCAAAATAATCTCTAAAATAGGAATACCCATTGTTGTTGATGCGTTAACTGCTACTAAAACTGGGCTTACATATGCTAGAATTTGTATCCAAGTCTCCACTACTTCTTCCTTTTCAGAAACTATTGCTTTGAAGACAAATTTTTTAAGTTTAAGGTTCACTATAAATGGAAACCTTCTCCATGCTCATTATGCAATTCTCTAGCTCATCCTTTGACACACTGCCCCTCAAATCCTCAAACTTAACAGATCTTCAACCAAAGCACAGAGGCTGCAGCACCTCTTGGAAACCTTGTAGAAAGCATACCTTTCGTTTACCAATTTCCCAGGAAAAATCCTCCACTGTTGTGTCAACCTTTTATCAGCCTGTGCAAGAACTTTCTACCTTACCCTCCATTACCGAGAGCCCTGCCAACTCCTCTCTGGTATTTGTACCCCCTCAAGTCAATATCCCAAGCAACCTGCCATCTCCCGATAAGAACTTGGCATTTGATGAGACACTCGACAATGGCAATACCAACTCCATAAGCTGCATTAATTCTAAACACATTCCGTCAGTTATTTTGCCTCGAACCTCCTTAAGCATTACTACACCTAATCTCAACTCACCCACAGATGACAGCTTTAGAAATCTGGAATTGAACCGATCATTATAGGGCAATCTTTTAATGTCCTGTTAAAAAACCAAATTTCTACTCTCCAAATAGTGAAGAGCATCCCCACATTCAATCAGACCCAACTGATAACCCCCACATTGAACCCCCTCAAAATTCTAATATAAAAAACTCTAATACCACCTTTCCCAAAACTGCCATGTGTAAACGATCCAAAAAGCCTCCCACACCCACTTCCAAATCTAAATGAGTAATCCCTCTATAGCAGCTTGGAATACCAGGGGATTTAGTTCCTCTGATAAAGTGTACTATTGGAAAATCCTAGTTCAATCTCACCGCTTGAATATGAATTGCATACTAGAAAACAGAATTCAAAATTTTTCTCTTGAACACACCTTTCACAACCAACATAGGGTGTTTGATTTAGAGGAAAGCTGCAACAACTTTCATTCTTTAGATCCTGGCAGGATCTAGATTAAATGGTCACTGGATAAGATCTCTTTTAAACTCTCTTTCATCTCCTCACAAATGATAACTAGAAGCATTTTGTATGGGACTTTTAAGCCGTTTATGCTAGCTGTCTTCTAATAATCAAGAAGATAACAAAATCCTTTGGGATGATATAAGATCCCTAACACCTTCTAAAAGAATTCCTTGGATCATTATGGGAGACTTTAACTGTTGTTGATACCCTTCTGACAAGTTGGGAGGTAATGCTCTTCATCAAAATCAGCTTAGTGATTTCAATGGTCTCATTTTTGATACTAACCTCAAAGAGTTGGCATCAGTTGGTCACTCCTATACCTTATATATATAATCAGAGAACTATTAATCCCATTCATATTAAGCTTAATAGAATTTTAGTAAATGATGATTGGACTATGTGGTAAAACCTCCTACATGCTCAGATCATTGCCCCATTGTCCTTTTGCTTGGGAATATAGAAGTCATTCATCATAGATTTCTCTTTAAAAATTACTGTTCTAATTCGAAAGAGTTCTGGTACTTATTACTCTCTATTTTCACTGGGAAAGTTAGTGGACAGCCTTTTGTAACTCTTTGCTCCATGCTTAAGCAACTCAATTTTGCCATTAAAGGGAAAGAGTGGGCTAACTCAAATTTGATGGCTGAACAACTTAACTCTCCGTATGAAAAGCAAGAAACATTTATCAATCAATTGAGCTTGGATTGCAACATTGAAGAAGTCTCTTTGACTCTTAAAAACATTAATCTCCAAGTGGTAGTTGTCTCTTCTCATTTGCTCTCCTGTATTTCTTAGAGAGCTAAAATCAAATGGATTTCAAATAGAGAAGATGATATCAAAATTTTATATTCTAAGATTAATATGAGAAGGAATTATAGGAGTAATGTTATCTCACTTTCTATGTACAATACCTCCATCTCCTATACTAAAGCGGTTAATGATGCTCTCTCATTTTCATGGTCTCTTCAATCCTTCTAACCGGCAGTCATTTGACATAAGCCATTTTCTGGTGGGTAATACTACTCATGAATATCATTTTTCTCTAACCATTCCTTTTACAGAGGCGGAAGTTAAAAAAGTTGTTTTCTTTGGAGCTTCTTACTCCACTCCGGATCCTAATGGTTTCAACTTTGAGTTCTTCAAAACTACTTGGTTAGTGACGGGTCCTATGGTATGCAAAGAAGTAAAGTCTTTTTATCAAAATGCATGCATACCTCATGCAGCAAAATCCATCGTCATTACTCTCATCCCCAAGACTAGTCATGTTATGGCTATCACTGACTTTAGACCCATTGCCATGTGCAACACTATATACAAAATCATTGCCAAAATACTAGTTGCTAGAATGAAACCCATTATGCCTCTTATCATTCAAGGCAATCAGTCTATTTTTTACATAAAATGATCTCCACTGATAATGTCATTCTTGCCCGAGAAATCCTCTTTCATTCTAGAAATTCAGCAAAGCTTAAACTTATGTGCGCAAAACTAGATATTAAAAAAACATTTGACATTGTATCCATAGAGTTTCTTATAGAAAGATTAGCCAAAAAAGGCTTCCCTAATATGTTAATCAAATGGATTAGTTCTTGTATCAAGGATGTTTGGTTTTCCTTATGCATTAATGGGGCTCTTAACAGTTTTTTTCCCTCCACTGCTAGGCTTAGGCAAGGATTCCCTTTAAGTCCCTACCTTTTTTACATAGTCATGGATGCTTATCTTTCCTTTTAGATAGTCCCATCAATAGTGAATTTGAGGCTCCTCAGTTTGCAGGAAATAGGATTCCCCACCTTATGTTTGTCGATGACCTTCTTCTGTTTGGGAGATCTGATATACACAATTGTGGTATAATTTGTAAGTTGCTTGATAAATTTTCTGCTGCCTCGGGCCTTGAGGTCAACTTTGAGAAAAGTTTAATCATTTTACCTACCAACTGTCATTATGCAGATAATATCAGCTCTATTCTTAATATCCCTCACACCTCTTTCATTACTTACCTTCGAAGTCACTTATCCCCTTACAACCCAAAAATTTCATATTTCTTTAAACTCATGGGTACCGTTACTTACAAACTCTCTGGGTGGAAAACTAAGACTTTATCATTTGTCGGTAGATTAAATTTTTGAGGTTCACTATTTTGAATTCTATAGCTTACTGGATCCGTGGCTCCATTCTTCCAAAAACTATTATTAAGCAAATAGAGAAACTTTCTGCTAAATTTCTTTACTTTGGGGATACTGTGGCTCGCAAATTACATATAATTTCATGGAAAAACACTTGTAAGCTGAAAACTTTGTGGTCTTGGGATCCCCTCCTTATATTTAGTGCAATTTAGTTACACTTGTGCTCTTATTGGGAAATTATACAATGGGAGCAGCCCATTAGCTTCTTGGCTTTTACAACACTATGTGTCCCCTTGGAAGCCCGTGTCACTAAGACTTCTTTTTTTTTTTTGGAAATTTTTTTGTAAAATTGCTACTATGGCCAAGACAAATTACAGCTTCATGGTATCGTATAAGGCTCCCATTTCTTTTTATTGGGATCATTGGGTAAATTGTATGTTACTTAAAGAGGTCCCTAATATGTAAGCTTTCCTAAACTGCTTTATGATAAATACTAGAATTTGTGTTGTCCTTTGTGAGCATGGTTGGGAACTTCCTGTTGATTTATCGGTTGTTCTCTTTAATTTGTTATCGTTTGTTACTATTAATTTTGGCATCAACAATTGCATTATATGGGGAAATGGGGAAGTTAATCACAGCACCTTCATTAATTTCCTTTACGTAAATGATACTATGCTTACTTGACACTAATTTGTATGGCACAGATGCTTCTCCCTTAGATACTCTACTTTTTGTTGGATGGCTCTGTTAGGTGGCCTTAAGATGGTAGATGCATTTAATTTAAGGGGCATTTCATCCTTGCTACTATTTTTGTTATTCTGATAATGAAAGCATTACACATCTGTTTTTTGAATGTCCTTACTCCTTTTTTGTTCTTCCCCAACTCATTCATGGATAAAGAATCAATTATTAAGACATAATATTCCTCAAGATTTTGAATGCACTAGTGGGACTAATAAATGGACTATGACCTTTTACCATCTTATTATATGCTGTGTGGTATATCACATTTGGAGGAAAAGAAATGATAGGAAGTTTGGAAACTCCTTTGCATCTTCCACTACTATATGCCTCAAAATCAAGTGTTGTTTTTGCTAAGATGTTGAAATGGAAACGTGGAAGCTCTCTTTTGGATATGATATAGTTTTTGGCTGGAGGTTAATTCGGGTGCTATTTTCAGCAGTTGCGATGGTTTCATCGATATGGATGAGTTTGTTTATATGAGCAAGGATGATAGAATTGCCTTCTTTTTCCCTTTGGATGGAAATACTGGGGGCTACTGCAAACAAGTTAGAGCACCAGCAATTCCTAAGCCCGTGATGGGGGAAGTATCTATCTGAATGTATTTCTGGTTTTTTATGGTTGTTTTTCTGAGGTTATTTTTTGTGGTGGTATAATTTTGTTGGAGTTATAGCTGTTTTTTCCTTAACTCCTTGTAGGGTTTTGTAGCCTTTTTTGCCTGGTGCTTTTGCACCTTTTTTGGTTCTTTTTATAAGCTACACATGTAATTTATTTCATTTTAATGAAAATGGGATAAGCCCTCAATTCTTCCAAAAAAAAAAAAATATGAAAAGACAAAATCCACATGAAGCATAGGGATGGCGTGGTTTTTTGAGGCGTTGGTTGGAGTTGTTTGAGCAAAATCCAGAGAAGGCTGAGGGTTCCACATGAAATAGGAAGTGAATTTGCAGGCTTAGCGACGTGATTTACCTATGGAGGGGAGATTGATTTTGTGGCTGGAGGTAGGCTCGTGTTTGACAACAAGGCAGATAGAGCATGTTCGGTATTGCTGGGGTGGAGAGGAGAGGCGTTAGACGTGGAGGCTGGATCGCATGAGATACCGAGAGACAGGGATGAAGAAGTTCGAATGCCTTCCCCAACTGCTCCTACCTGTCATTTTAAAGAAATGAGGGTTGTTATCTTGATTTAAATGAAGAGTTGCTCAGTTTGGAAGCAAATTGGGTGGGGTGGGACCCGCTCAAAGGAAGGTATTTTGCTTCAGAATTTCTTTGTTATGTGCTTTTTTTAGTCAACAAATTCATGTTTTTGACTTAGAACATTAAATCATTCTATGCAAATGAAGATTGTCCGAACAAGCTCTTTATTTGTTCAACTAGTACAATATGGATCATACAATATAAAATTACTCTGATTTAGGTCGTAAAATATGTAAAAAACATATTTAAATTTTGTATTGTACGAACAAATTCATATAATATGATTAGATCAAATTTTGAATTTTAAGAGAATCATCGATAACTTTTTTTTTTTTTCACTCCTAAGATCATTAGAATTTTTATTATTTGGGCCTTATCCAACCTTTTCATTTATTATTATCATAATTATAAGACAAGAAATTTATTTATGGGCAACAAAATTTTCACATAACAAAATCAAAATTATAATCCATATAAAAGTCTAGTTAAATGGAATAATAATATAATTTGTTTGAGGTAGAAGACATAGCCCTGAAGCATAGAATTATAACTAGTGTTGAACCAACAAGAGGTTGGCATGGGGCAAATCAGACTTAAAATTAAGCTACAAATAGAGAATTAATTAAACCTGAGCATTCAATAATAGTTGGGAAGCCCATAATAACTAGATAAAATAGCTGCAACAACTAAGAAATCCAAGGCAACAGAAGAAATAAAAGCCATTGATGGTTAAAATCATAAATTTTTTTTCTTTTTAGAAAGATACAATAGCAATAACATTAAAATAAAACCTATTGCAAACTAACAATACAATCACATTCCTCCTTTAACATATGAAGAAAAAGGAGGAATATTGTACATTCTAATATCATCCCAAACAAAGTTACAAGTAAGAGCAACATTAGCATTTAAATCTGCTAACTAATTACAATCCCAGTAAACAAAACTAAAAATAACATTATGAAAATCTTTAAGGAAAACAAGCTCTTCCATACAAAGACTAGTCTTCAAACCATTCATATTCTTCATATTACCTAGAAAGAATTTGATGACATTAATATTATCCCCTTCAATTATAATTCTTTTGTATTGCAACAGCCACTCTTGCTTGATCGAACTCAAGGAACAAATAGCTAACATCTCCAACCTTGATACATCCCAATATACACCACTAAAGCCAAACTCCAATAAAAACCTTCCTTTATAATCCTGGAAAACTCCCCTAACACCAGTCAAATAAGATGGTAGTAAAGAAGCATCAACATTTACTTTTATCCAATCAGGAGGAGAGTGCCAACAATTCTTGAACAGTCGATCAAACTGATTAACACGCCTAAATTAACCATAGCACAACCAGCTGAAGCCAAGAGAGAGAGAGGAAAAATTAACAGAATACGCAACAATAACCAAGCTACTATCAACATTACCACCATGAATAGCTTTATTCCTAGACTTTCAAGATAAATATACAGCAGTACCATAAAGCTTGACCAAAAGCACATTCTTGGAAGAGAACCGCTCCAACCATATGCAAAATTCATCAAAAGAAACAAAAACCAGAATACTGAATCCTTATTTATTCAAAATTTGGATTACCTAAATGAACCTTAAACAAGTTACCGCCACATGCTCATAATCCTCCATCGGTATACATCCTCTAGGACATAAATTATCTTTTGTTAATCTTCTATGAACCAGAAACTAGAATGTAGGAATAGCTTTATGAAACAATTCCAAATTTGGATGCAGATCTCCAAACTATTAGGTAATAGTAATGCCCTAGAGAAAACCAAAAATTATAAATACTCATATGAAGTATAAGTTAGTGATGATAGAGGATAATTTGATCTTCAATTCCAAGGACAAGAACCTCCTCATGGTTTGAGTTGAGCCTTGGATCGCCTAGGTGAGAAGAAGAGTGATTTGTGGTTGTGGACAAGATAGGATCAACGATTGATTGATCATGGTAGGGAAAGTTGAGGGCTCGTTGAGTTGGTGTTTTCTTGTAACTGTTTAGAGAAGATGGTCACTTTGGGAGAGCGAGTGTCTAAGGTCTCCTAGAGGAAGAGCAAGTAATTGAAGCAATTGTCCAAGTATGTGGCAAGTTGTTAGCCTAATGAGGATTATTCACCCAATGGAGGGCGAGCTCCTTAGTAGGTCTAATAGCGCCTAGTGATTACTTCTAGGCAAGTAGTCCCTTGTAGTTCCCAATTGAGTAGCACCTCTTGTAATGTGCATTGCATATGTGGGCTACCTATTAAATACTTAAAAAAATCATGTGAGTATAACTATCATATCTGATTTCCCAAAAATCAATTTTTAAAACATTCAATGAAGCAATTCATAATCATTATATTAGGGTTTGTTTGGGATGACTGTTGACCTCGATTTTTGTTTGAGTGCCCTTGAGGGCCTTTGATTGATTTAATCAAGCACCGTTAAATCCAATTCGAGCTCGAATCAGCTCAAATTGAGTCGAATTAGGCTCGATCAGGTTTGATTAAGCCCGATTAGTCCGCCTTAGTCGCATCGAGTTTGTTATGATTCAACTCGTCATTTTATTTAAATTTAATTGGGTTAATTTGAGAAAATCAAATTAAATTCCAAATTGACCCGAATCGAATCTAATTTTGAGCTTGATTTTAATTTAATATGCTTAATTTATTTTTTTATGAGCTTAAATTTATTCCTAAATAAAGCAAACAAATTTGAGGCTAAATCACCTCAATTCCCTCCTAATTATCATTAGGATGAATCCTAGCCGTAAATCTAAGGCCTTGATTATTTAAATACTCTTTTAGGGCTTCATGAAAGAGGCTTGCTTTGATTCTCTCCCTAGCTGCTCTCAACCCTAACTTCCTTGTGTGAGTGCTCTTCCAACTTCTCCCCACCTTCTTCCACTCAAATCCATTAGTCAAACTCCACCGACGGTGATCCTCCAGCGAGATCAAGGCTAGATCCATCCAAGGCCTCGATTTGGTTGATCTAGAGTTCGTTTGTTCGTGGTTTCAACTAGAGAAACATACGAGGACAATCTACAAGCTCAATAGTTTGAAGACCTCGAAGATCTAACAGTAAGAATTTCTTAAAAAACTTTAGATCTAGGTCACAACACATAGATCTAAATAATTTTTCATATACCTCATTTTAGAATACGAAATCGCTCCCCC